TGCATTTGCCTTCCCACTAACGAGAATCTGTCCCTCTGTATAGGAGGTGAGTTGCTACAAACTGTAGGTGAGCCTGCCAGAGATTTTTCATCAGGATTTTTTTGCCAGTATGTGCTTTGAATTTTCTGTCAAGATTGCAGACAGAAATCATGTTTATTTGCCAACACCCGTAATTTTCTGAGGCAGATCTAGATAAGCAGAGCTTTTGTCCAGCTTTTATCTCCAGCTTTTGTCCTGTGTGCAGTTTGCACTGCAGTTCTCCCTGTGTTGCTTTTTGTAAGGGTGCTTAAACTCGAAGGCTTTGGACTGGCACAGGTAGAACTGGTAGAACTGTTTGTTTGAAACACCAATATCTTGAAATTTCAGCCATGGCTATGCTGGTGAGCTGTTCACAAATCATACCTTATTTTCTTTGGAGCTGCCAGAAAGATTTTTTTTTAAGTATTTTGTTTGGTTGTTTTTTTTCCATGGTGCCAGTTTTTTGTAAATGGCTTGCTTTGATTTTTCTCTGCTATGTGTATTGGCAGCACCAGAGCCAGGTCAGCTGGCACTGGTTGTGTCCTTTTGCTGTCTGCCTGAAACGTTTGGTATGTGAGGTTAGCACACATAGTTTTTGTCTAAAAGGCACTGGTGCTAAAACTGTTTTAAGGGTTCACAGGTGGACTTTCAAACAGGCAGGAGTTCTCTAAAGGCAAGGGGACAGGAAATTATTTGATTCTGTGAATGCAACTTGCATTGTATGGTAAGTAAGATAGTCAAGGACTGGTTCCCTTTGACCAAACAGATTGGGCAGTGGGCTCATTGGGAATAGCTACCAGCATCAAACAAGAGCCTCATCCAGCTCATAGCTGTGCTGCCATATGCAGCATGTGTTGTGGGCAACTCTTACCTAGAGGACAAAGTGAAAGGGATTATTCATCATGCCAGCACTGCAAAGGAGAAGAATCTTATGGAAGCAAATTACTTCGCTTAAACTGGCAGTGAAACCCCTCAGAGTGGCAGTGATCAGGCTCATGTGCTTCACAGCCCGTTCCATGGCAGATGCTGTGGTGTGCTGGACAGCTGGGGCAGCTCCCTAATTTCTGTGGGAACAGTGAGGTGGGGTGTGGAGAGGAGGAGGGGAGGGATGACAGCAGGTCACCTTTGCACACAGATCTGTTTACATCCCAGCCTTGATGCCATTAGAGGCAAGTCTGACATGGGTGATAACTCCTGGCTCTGCCAGCCAACTCCTGCTGTACAGCCTGACCTGTACTGAGATGTAAAATGTGCCCAAGTGTTGATGTGCATAAAAAGCAGCACAGGGGACAAGGGGGCCTGTAAGAGGTCACAGGTGTGTTTTGTTTGCATGTGTCTGTCACCAAAACTTACATTATCAGGAGCAGTCTGAGACACACAGGACAATGCTCATGTCCATCCCCAGTCCTTGGACTGGAATGCCATTAGCTATTAGGCAGTTGTACTGCAGAGGGCCATGGCAGCTCCAGGGCACTGGTGTCTGTACAGACTTGTCTCTGAGCAGAGGTACACTGCAGTGCAGTTTGTCCTGCACTTTTGAGGAGCTGTGTTTTATAATACTCCATAATATGAAGGTATAACTTTATTATAAATAATGTTATTTACCGTTTGCACTGAGAAGCTATGTGGAATGCTATATAAAGCCAGAAGGAGAGAGGAAAGGCAATCCTTAGCTGTACAATCTCTGTGTAAATGAGTACAAACAGCCAAGACTCTTGATCACAGAAGTATTCTGGGACCTGAGAGATGGAGTTAGCAAAGTTTTTTTGCATCCTGACATTACTCACCTCCCTGCACCCCAGAAGAGATGATCAGTTCCCAACAAGGCATTTATTCATGCCCGAGGTTACTCATGGTGAGTTTCCCAAGTGATGTGCAAACCATGGACTCAGGGCATTGAGTCAAGGGGTGACTCAAGAGGCTCTGGTTGGTTCAGTGGCTGCCTGGCTACCCTGTGTAAAACCTGAGCATGGAGGGAACTACAGTTGCTATACAGAAATAGGTGGGGCTTCTTCTTGCTTGTGCAAAGCATCCTTGTGTGGGCCTGCAATATTCCAATCAGCTTCTTGGCTGATTCACAAGTTATATAATTTATGTGCCAATCAAGACAGAATTATGAGACCAATGTGCACCTTATTCGTTGCTGCACAGCTTCCTTTGAAGTTGAAGGTGACAAGTTACCATTACTTGTCTGCTTCTAAACCGTGAACACAGCTTCAGCTTTTAGAGAATGGCCATGACAAAACGAGCTGGTTCAGCTTTGAGAACCTTTATATTTGGACTCCCCTTGCAGAATAAGAAGTGATTCACATGTAGCACAGCCCACCTCCAGGAGCAGTGAATGTGCAGAGTAGAGTTCTGCCTCATCTTCTCAGCTTTTTCAGAGCCAGCAACGGGTGTCATAAACTCTTGGAGCATCTTTCACCAGGAAAATGGTACTGTCTTCAACTGTGATTTGATGTCTCTCACTGCCAGACTGAGGCATCAACTGAAAGCTGAGTGGCTCTGCAGCTTCTTGTGCTGGAAGCAGGAAAAGCAGTGCTACCTGCATCTGGTAGAACATTCTGGGGTACATCCAACAGGAGCGTCTCTACCTCAGCAGACTTCTGTGGCTTCTTACAAGCAAAATTGAGCAGGACAGATGGGGGATGGGATGATGGTGATTGCTACTCCAAGGAGATCTCACAGTGCCTCCCCTGCTCTAACCACCAGTCCACACAGCACTGTTAGTGCAGGAGTGGAGCTGATGACCTGAAGCTGGTTCTGCTGCAATTCTTTGTACTCTGCCCCTAGACACCTGACTTACAGTGACTCTGAATATCTGAGGCAATCACTGACTTCAGTAAAGGTGAAGCAGCTCAGGACCTCTCTAAATTATGTCCTTGATGTTGACACTTTCCCAGCAGGGTTCTGAGTGAACTAATCAATGTGTTTCAGCAGGCAGCACTCTCAACTCCATCTTGTCTTATATTGTCCCTGTTAAATGTGAAGTCAGTTCTCAAGAGGCTCTCAAGATGTGATTTATTTTCTTTTAAAGTTTCCTGTTAAATCACCTTCATGTTACACTCTACCTCCACCTTCTTTAACTTTCCAGTGAGAAATTGGCAAAATGTCTCATGAAGAGGTGCTCCTTGAGCACTTTGTTCTTCATAAACATTAAACCAGGATTTTGTCACAACATTGCAGGGATTAAAATACTGTAATTCTCTTATTTTATCAAAATTGTGATGGCTTCATTTTGTTTATACATAAAGAAAACTGGTAGACAGAGGTAAAGGAGGGTGGAAATTTCTCAAATCCTGAGAAATTTGACTGAAAATGTGAGGTCCTGTCTCTTGCTCCAGTGAAGTCTATGTGCCATTCCAGTAAGTCTCCCTCATATAGGTTTTACAGAGCTAGAATTGCCCCGTGCATTCAGTGCTCTTTCCTTGAACTACTTGTGTGTCTGAAGCACACACTGGATTGTACTGAAAGTGAATGTAAAATAAGACGAATGAAGTGCAGGTTTTAGGTGCAGTTGATGACAAGAGGGTTAGTTTTGTGTCATGTTCAAAGAGCACGAAGTTCAGAAAGATAAAGCCACTTTTATCCTTTTGGTTAAGGCTTAAAGCCAAGTGCAGTTTGACCAGGTCTCTGGCTCAGTTCTACACCTCTTAATTACTTAATTACCACATGCAGCTTGTTTAGGCGACTAAGTGTTCTTTGATTAGTGTTCCAAAAGCAGAATAATAGATGCTTCTTGCATGCAGGGAAGAAATTATGCTGCATAAATATCTGTCTGACTAAAGATAAATATAAATACAAGGTCTTGGATTTAGGAGATGCGTTGATCAATTCTGAAGAGGTCCTGATCCCCATCAAAAACACAGGGCATAGCCTTTGGAGTGGAGTGCAGTGCAGTAGAGCAGCCATGGCCCTACACACTTCTGGAAATTTCCAATATGGAACTTAAAATAATAGGATGCCATCTTGATTGTACAAGGCTACACCCCCTCAAAAAGTCTGGGCAAAAATCTACATGAAGTTTTAACTTCTTTCCTCTTCAGCAGAACAAATCTGTCAAAAACTGTGTAGGGTGAGAAAAGCCAAGGTGAATTCTGATTCTTACAAAGAACCACAGGGCACTGAATGGCTCTGCTATATTCAGTAGGAGGAAAAATCTTTACACAAGGTATAGTTAAGCTGTAAAAATCTTTGCTGTAGGACACTGTACATGTAAAATGTACAGATTCAAAAACTAATTGGACAAACTAATGGAAAATGATCTGTCAAAGAATGACTGCAGTGCTGTTGCTTTAGACTCTGTACACCAGGAAAACATTTGCATGTGCTTGTCCTGCTCAGCTGGTGTTCTCAGCGCTGTTACAATGAGCTGTGGTGAGAAAGCAGGTTTGCTTTAACCCACCATAGCTGCCCTTCTGCTTCACTTCCTATGCAGTGAGAAGTTTGCAAGTCGTATACATGGAAGAAAATTTTTTCTTACTTAATTTGGTGTATTTTTATTTATTAATATGGCTGTCTTCTGAATAGAGATAAATATCTGTGGGGTTGGCAAAACACTTCAGATCACTGACTAGAGTTGTTTTCAGCCAGTTTGTAGTAGCTGGTAGTTCAGCCCATTGTATTTGCAAGGAGCAGAATATGCTTAACTTGCAGGCAGCTTTGCAGTGGCATCAGCAAGTGCTATGTACTTTCTTGCAAGAAAATTCCCAAACAGATCTCAGATCATGTATCAGAAAGTACTGCTCTACATGTTCATGTTCCCCGACATAAGCCTTTATACCTTTGTCTGAGATCTTAATAGTTAACCTACCTGAGCAAATAGGAAGGAGCATTTTTACTTTCAATAAAGTTTGATTCCTGCAGGCAGATCTTTTTTTTCCAGTGAGTGTCAGATAATTTGAAGGTAGGGTGAGGCAGGAAACCACGACACGCCTTTGTTGGGACTTGTATAAGAGCACGGGAATAGAAAAGCAAAAGAAGGGCGAGAATAAAACAGGATGAATAAAGAAGAGATGAACATTTTTGGATGATCACTCAGGTTCTGCACACCTTTGGAAGGACATGATATAAAGTGTAGGTGGCAAATTTGTGGTAGAACAGAAGAAGTTGAGGAGAAAAAAGATTTTCATTTCAGTTACCAAAGCACTCCAGGTAAGTTACATTACTAAAAAAAAGGCAGAAAAAGGTATCCTTTATTTTCCGTCTTCCACATTCCTTTAAGAACAAGGCTGACTTTTCCGTCAGGATAAAGGAGGTGTTACATTTTTCTGTAGGGAATACAATATACAAACAAGTTTGCTTAAGGGCTGGGTCATTTGTGTTTCTGTTTGTCAGTGAATACTACTCTTTTGAAGTGAGTATCCGGTGAAAAGAGTTTACCTGCTGGGAGAAATGACATGTGAAGCCAAGTTATGGGCACATTTTTAATGCATTTTATGAAACTAGCGCAAAACAGATAAAGTTTAGCTGAATTTCTCTGTTCTATACTGGCATGGTGAAATGCCAATCGTGTGTTAGCTGTTTTTAAAACTGAGCAGATCTGCAATGTGCTGGAGGAGTAGTGGTTGTAAATTGGAGCTTCAGATGGTGGGTGCAGGGTGTAATATTAAGGAATAAATCTCCAGTCCTGAGAATGCCTAGAACTGCTTCTGAGTGAAAGTTTGTGTTGCCATGGACAAACTTTGCTTTATCTCAAATAAGTGAGTTTGTTTTCAGCAGTGACTCATTGATCATGTATTTTGTGCTGTATTTTTGTCATAGAAGATTATGAGGTGTTTTGGTCACAGTAAGTCAGAAGAGTGTGATTTCAGAATCACTTTGAATCTTTGGACTTTCTATGGCAAGTCCAGCAATTTGACCATAGTGGCATAAAGCAGAAGATTTGCCTTTTCCTCCCTTTAGAGTGACTTGAGTGACTTTAGGGAACTTACTTTTCCATGACTAATTGCTTCATTTGTGAAATGGTGACAGCAGATTTTTCCCATTCTGCAAACACTTTTTTCATAAATAGCAGATTGTCTCCTTTTCTGTGCCATAGCCGAGAAGTTTATGCAGGTTAGAATGGCCTATTTCTTTTTGAGTAGCTCAGTTGAGATGGTGAGGACTTATTTTTGAAAGGAAGGTGTCTGGCAGAGCAGAGTGAAGTCTGGGCAGTGCTGTTGTTTGTGCTCTGAAATGTGAGCACATATTGGTGTCAAAGAAGCCAGGACAGGCTGTGGGCAGGGGCTGGTTCCTACAGCATGTCCAGCCTTTGGCTGGGCATCTAACCTGTTTCACTGGCATTTGCATCATTTCAGCCTACAAAATGAGCAGATTTGGAAGTATGATTTGATTTATTCAATTCTGAATGTGTTGGTTTTGATAAAATGACTTGAAAGTAACAGCTTTTAGAGCCGAATGAGAAGATCAAATTCCTAGTCTGCAGGATCAAAAGAGATAAGGGATCATTTATTAACCAGTTCTTTTAGTTTCAGGCCAGTGGCAGCTGAAAGGCTTGGTTAAGAGGAAGAGGGACCCTAAAGGACATGTTCTATGATGGGAGACATAGTCAGTGGTATCATTTGGAGGCATCTGCTGAGTGTCAGAGTATTCACGATCAAAAGGTTATGCTGATATTAAATATTAATCTCAGCACCTGCCGGTGCTTCTTTTTCCTAATGGAGTATCTCACAGCAGGAACCTCTGGAGAGAAGAAAGTTGAAAAGATACATTGTGAGTGCAAACTGGGAGAACAGTGTGGAGGGAAAAAAGTATCTGAAATGTGCTTGCTTTTATTTTTCCAACAAAGGACACCTTTGTGACTATTCCACTCCCCTTTGAAAACTATCAGTAATAAACTTTATTACCATTGCATACAATACCTAGAATCTAAAATGATAAGAGGGGATTGAATGTCCTATCTCAGAATGCTTAGTGTCCTTGCCAGTGTGCTGCACTGCAGTGAAGTGGAACAGAGGGTACAAGGGGTATCCTGCATTGTCAGGCTTTTGTGGAATGCATAGATCTGAGTGCATTTTGCAGTGCTAGGCAGTTATTATCCTGCTTTCAGTGCTGGTCAGAGAAGAAGCAGCCTGCATAAGTGTGGCAGTGCCACACCTCTCCTGGTTCCTACTGCCAATAATGGCTGCAAGTTCTCCGTTTCTGTGGGTGCCACAAGCACACTGTAGCCCCTGAGTTTATGTGAAAAGGACCATAGTATTGTTGTCTTACCTTCCTGCACTGTCTGAGTGACCTCACTTCACAAGTTGCTGCTTGTTGCCCTGAGATGACTGCAGATGACTTCTCTGATTCAACAGTGCTGTTGCTGTGCCACAGACATAGCCCACAGCTATGCCTTTGAGACTCCAGATAGGAGCTGGGGAGATGAGTCAGGCCTGGCAGGTAATGGAAATGCAGCTCAGTCAGTCTGCTGGCATCCATGTGCCAAGCACACATGCAAAAGCACTGTGTGCTGGGGCTGGACTATGGCATGCATGGCTTCAAAGATGGACTTTAACCTATTATTTTTTTCTCCAAATTGATGTCACAGCAAGATACTTCCCTTTCTCATGGGAAGGCAAAGATGCAGAAGATGCATTCACTCCATGGTGGTGCTGGCCTCTTCCAGCACCCATAACCAGCACCATCTCCTAATACCAGAAAGTGAAGTTCTGGGGCTACAAAGCAGTAGGAAAGCAGTTTCCAAATACAAAACAGTGCTCCTTGCCTTGACTGATAAAGTCAGCAGTGCTGACATCAAGACAACAGCTTCCAGCATCTGTTTTTAGGAAGAGAACTTGAAAGACACTTCCACTGTTGATGCAGTAAGGAAGAGTTGCAGAGATAATGCCTTTCCTTGGAGTGAATGACCAGAAACCCTTCTGTTGCAGGGGACTGTTACCCTGCTGGAGGAGGAACTCTCCTAATCCATGTAGCTCGAGTCTTGTATATGTGTTGAAACACCCTGGAAAATCCCTTGGAAATCCCTAATGTTTGCAAGCATTGCAAGGGTTGAGCAGCGTCCTGCTGCCACCAGGTTGTGTAAGGATTTGGATGTGGCCTTAGGAGCTGCACTTACAGGGCTGTTTAGACAAGCTCTGGGTCCGGAGTGCAGAGTGAGGGCTGTGGGCACTGGTGTTCTCAGCAAAGTGCAGATGAGTCTGTCATGGGGGACCGAAGTGGCTTGGCTGGCACTGTGTCTTCTCTGCTCAAATTGTTCCTGTCCAGCTCTGGGAATAGCAGGAGCTGGTTAAAGACAGAATTGAATCCGAGTGTTGGATATTCTCTGCTGCATCTTGTGTCAGTATTTATGCCTGGGCAGTACAAGTGTAACATCAAGGGGGCTGCAGTGTACAGAAGAATAAGAGGAATCATGAGAATCAAACTCATATTTAACAGAAATGGGGGACGTGGTCTTGGGTTCTGCATCAAGCTAGGCTTTAAAACTTAGAAGGAATTTTGCCCAAAGCTTTTTTTAGACTCAGCATCTTAAATGTGTTGGTTTTGCTACAGTTGGGCCTTCAGTTTTAAGGGGAAGACTTCAAATCCAGTGAAGAGTTTTGACCTATGGTGAGCTTGTGTGTAAATTAAAATCTCTTCCTTCTCATTGTCCGTGGCTGCACAAGATGGAATGTTATCTTAGCAAGACCAGGAGTGAACAATTGTGTGGTTCCTTCTGACAGAAGTGCTTTCTCTTCTTGATGATGTCTCTTTTCCACAATCGTTTTTTGTGGTATTCCTGCCTTGGCAGACAATCATACCACTGGTAGAGATTATAATTTTCACTAGACAGGGATCCAAGTAGTGAAAAAGAGTGTACACAGCACTCACAGCATCAATTCCAACACCGTGTAGACTGATCTGAGGTGGCATTAAAGTAGATCAGATTCCTAAGCCACTGACAGGGTCTCCAAACTGTTGCTGCTGTACCTGTAAAGCAAGATAAAGCACTTCCTACCTTAAATTCCTTGCTGCCAAAACTAGCTTCTTCTAAGGTACCTCCTTAAGTGTTTTTTCTGCTTTGCTAAAGTCAGTGCTGTGGCTTTAGCATCAGTGTACCCTGAGAATGCACTATTACTGTTAGCAGAGCAGCAGTATATCTGCTGAGGTTTTTCTGGCAGTACTGGCAGGGTGCAGGTAACTTACTCCTGCAGCTTTGCCTGCACAGTTAATCCTGTACTGTTGAGGCCTGCCCAGAACACACATAGCAATAGTGTTTAGATCTACTGGTTTTCATCAAATCTTTATAGGGGCACAGCTGGAGACCATAATGTAGTGTAGTCTAGATGTAAATCCAGATCTAAACTGAGTGGATTTGCTCCAACTGCCTCTATCTCGCTTATTGGCTTTACAGCCCCTCCTGGTGTTTCAGCTCTGCTGCCTTGTGCAGCATCCAGTGTTGTAGGTGGCAGTCCATCAGCAATAATCATATGGCTCTGTAAAGGCTCTGTAAACTCCCTGGCACAGACATCTTCCAGACAGTCTAGCCCCACCCAAAGTGAGCAAAGTGGTGGGACTTGTGGGGAGCTGTTGTCATTTTTTACTCTTCACAGAGCTCTGAGTGCAGTCCCTCTGTTTTCCTTGCAGGTGGCAATGATATGGATTCTGTAACAAAAAAAACAAGACAAGATGGATCAGAAGTTACTGAAAGACGTAAGGAGGAGATTTTTAATTTTTATATCACACCCCAGAAATCCCAAAAATAAATGGCCATTTCTGTAAGGGATTAAATGCTGACCAAAGGTCCAGAACTGAACTCTGCCCCTGGCCCTGATCTCCGTGTTGAAGTCAGAATAAGGAATAGAATGGGCCAAGATCAGACATTTTGTGATGTGTATCATGATCTGATTGTTTAACCAGATGATTGCCCTGTGGTAGCATTTCTAACCAGTAGTGCAGACACTGGGATGCTGCTCTTACCTCTGATATCAATGCCTTGGGTGGCCTAGAAATTGTCTGGTGGCTTTGTGTAAAATAGGTTAATTTTCTACTGACCTTTTGAGAATTAACTAGTAGGAAGCTACTAAGGGGTCTGACCATAGGCTTTTCTGATATAGCAATGGCTGTGGCTCAGAAGTGCCCAGAAATTTTACAGGGATTTTGTAGAGAAAAAAGTGTTTCATGGCAGTAATGTTCTTATTCAGAGCTAGAAAGATCTGCAGAGAAACACAGCATTGTGTGATAATGAGCCTACAGCTACAGCCCCAAGCAGTTTGGTCTTAAGGGACGTTTATTTAACTGAGCCAATCTTCTTTGAACAAGTCATGCTTTTACATGGAGAATAGGTAGAATTGATCCAGTTTGGCTATATTAACATGCCACTAATTCTGCACCCTTTTCTTCCCTCAGTTATTACAGAGACTGTAACCACAAGACTGACATCCTTGCCACCCAGTAAGTAATTCTCAGTCAGTTTCTTTGCTTCTGCTTGGTGCTCTGTGTCTCTCCATGCTATTTATTTGTCTGCATTATTTCCATTATTTCCATAAATCCCTGGGTGCAGCAGGTCTCAGTGCATAAAGATCTGTACCCAAAGGAAAGCAATTTTAGAAATATCTTTCTTCCAAAATACTTCTTACTGGAGAGGAGTAGTTTTTGGGGGCGACCTGTCTAGGTATTGTCAGAAACAAAGCCACATACTCTACTAGGACTAGAAGACTCTGCAAAGATTTAAGTCCAGATGTAGGGTCTCCAGTGGTGATTGTCTGTTAGGAACAAGAATCGAAATAAATGGGTCTGCAGGTTCCACTGCTGGGGCTGCAGTGTATTATTTCCCTGTCGTCTTACCCAGCTGGCAGCAGTGAGTGAATCTTTTCAGTAACATCAGAGGTCACATGTAATTTCTACGTCTGCAGAGAAGTACAAACTCCAAAAAGGGAAGAATCCTCCACACTCTTTATCCCACCATATCCTTGATTAGTTTGCTGCAGCTGAGTTGGCAAGGAATTGCATTATCATCTCATTTATGATGAGAGTTAACAAGAGTATTCTTCAGTCTGTGTATGAAACAAAACTTAACTACAAACCTGCTGGCTGTGGAGTGTGAATGCTTGTCTGCTCTGCCGAGACACTTCTCTGCACTTCTGATCTCTCACCAGATATGAAACTGTGCTTGTAATTGAATGTGTGGACAACTTTGGGTCCTTTCTGCCTTCTCTTGCAGTGTCCTTGCTCTTCCTATCTCCTACCTGGAGAGAATGTCTCATTTTGTGCTCATTTCTTTCAGAAGGAGGGAGCAGCAGTGGGCTCAAAACATCATCCCACACTGGAGGGAGTGGAGTAGAAAAGCGGTCATACACCCATGGAAGCAGCTATGTGACCTCAAGTAAGGAATGAAAGCACTGCTCAGTAGGAAACAGAGCAAAAGCAGCAGAAATGGGCTGAGGAGAGATTCAAGGCAGGGATGTAGGGTGAGCCGGGGTAAGGAAAACAGGATTTATCAAAGTAGAAGTGGCAAATACATACACAAATGAAGCTATTCCTTCCCTAAAGCTGGGTTTGAGAATGGGTGAGTAAGTGGCAAAGGTCTCATTTTCTACAGGGAAAACCTAATTTCAGGAGAACAACAACAAAAAATGTCATTCCTACTGCTTTTAAGAAGTCTGAATTTCCCTTCTTTCAGTTTTTCCAAATCACGGTCTTTCTGACCATTTTTGTTCTAAAGACAGTTTTGATTAATCTTTCTACTGATCTTTCTGAGGGTGTGTCCATGGCTTTAGCACTTTGAACATTTTGCCAGATTTTCTGGACGTGCTAAATCAGTGTATGCAGGATTCTTCTCTATAACAGTATTCTTTGCCCAGCTGTTAGATTGTCAAAGGCTTCTAAAGACTAAGCTTCCTACTAAGCTTCCTAGCCAGGTGCCTGATGCACTTTTCTGTCCCCAGTGGGACTGACTGTCTAACTCTCCTTCTGGAAAACATTCTCTGTGCTCCAAGGGAGCTGACAAACCAAAGGGAGTGAAGTACACTTTGGAAGCTCAAGGGGAGAGTTAGCCATACCAAAGAGATCTGACAGACATCTGCATGCCAGGTAAAGGCCAGAATGTGGAATCACTTTGCTTCAGGGCAGACGTGAAGTAACTCCAGTGCAGATGTTGGTCTAATTGTCTGGACTGGCACCACTGTGAGAACTGAACCCAGTCCTGCAAACTCAGAGGACCATGCAGGATTACCATCTTCCTTTGATATCTTTTCAGTATGTGTAAGAAAAGAACCTGAACTTCAGAGATACTGAGTTATTGCAGTTTCACAGAGCATTCTGGAGTCTCATCTTTTCCACTTTCTTGCAGAATGTCTCTAACAGAGGCCTACTTGTCACAGTAGTTCTTTCTGCTGAATTAAATGGAGAAGTTACAGAACAAAACAGGTCTTTTTAGAGGGGAAATTGGCACAAAAACACTGTTGAGATCAAAAGGACACACTTTTTGTAGGGATGGGTAAACAATAACCAGTTTGATCCTGCTGATCAGCATAGATAAGTTGCAGTTTATCACAGAGTTCCCTTTTTATTGCACCCTGATCATACTCCAGCATTAGATTTTGTGCAAGAGTATGAACACATTAATTATGGCTGCTCAGTTCCTTCTCCACAGAACTGATGTGAATTAGGGGGGAAATTGTTTCTTCTGTCTACATATAACAGCTACAATAACCTCCAGGCTTTCTTGGGCCTGATGCCCACCTCAATCACTCCTCCAGAAAATGGACTGAGTGGGAGTGTGGATAGCTGCTTTATGGCAAAGTGGACTCATTTCTGCTTTCCATTATCTCATAAACTGCGTCCTTTGGCACATTGAGTTTGGTTTGGCAATCTCCCAGTTTTTGTATCCTATGTCATGTAACACTTGAGTTTGCAAGTAAATCTATATCCTAACCAAAACAGCACCATCCAGAGCTAGATTTATTCCTTGTCAGGGGAGATGGTTCACTATTGCCATAGGCCAGAACCTGGTTTCATACATATCATTGACAAGATTTGCTTTGAAACCAGAGTGATAACCAATACTCCCCTGTGCCCTGAATGCTGAAGACAGCCAGACTTAGACCCTGATATTGTTCTTGTCCATCTCTAGTTGTGAAACACCAGTGCAAATTTGTCCAACTCAGAAGATAGTAACATAAAGCACCCAGGGCATCCAGAGTGTACTGTCAGGGCTTCTCTTCCATTTGCTGAGGGCGTTTTCTTTTAACTATAGGTGGAAGTGGTAGATTGAATTCAACATCATCATCCTCCAGCTACAGACAAGCCCAGTCTCCCAGCTCTACTCTCACCAAATCACCTGGCTCAACATTTGAAAGAAAAACCTATGTCAACCGCCATGCAACATATGAAGGTATCACAGAACATGCCATAGAAGGGAGGCAATGTGCAGTAGAGGCAATGTGCAGTGCACTCTGAGGTCACATTAGTGCAGAATTGTCCCCAATACCATTGTGGTTTTCCTAGGAAATAAGCCATCAGGGACACAATTTAATGATTAAGTCATATTTATCTTAAGAGTAATGCTTATTCCTAAAAGGAATTGTGGCATATATTTGTTGAAAGACATTTGCAGCTCTTTTATGTGAAACCTGAGTAGCTCTTTTTTTTAAATGGAAATGTTTGCTGCCCACTGAGATTAAACAGTTGCCAGGAAGACGTGTTTTGAAAGCTTTTAATGATCTTGTGCAAAGTATTAATGGACAACACCTTTCTGTTCTTTGCAGGGAGCTCCAGTGCCAACTCTTCTCCTGAGTTCCCCAGAAAAGATTTTGGTATGTCCTTTTTAGAGCTGTTCCTCTGAACGTTGTGGCAAGGTCATGAGTTGATGACCATAATGACTTTTTGCATATTGCTGTGCCCTGCTCTACCTATGCTACCTCTATACTGGGCCATCATGCATCTCCTTCAGGGGAGTTATTTGGGATTTACATTAACAGCTGAAAGTCAGGTGTCTAGTGAATCATATACAAACAGAGGGTGCATACTGTATATCTGCTGCTCTCAGCTGTGATGCTCCCTGTATGATATAGGACATGGACAGGAGAAGACAGACATGGGATACTTCAGAGCATCCCTTCACCCTTCTAGAATAGCTGGGAGAACACCTGCAAGCAAGAAAGTCCAGACTCTTAGGATTTCGAGTCATTGCTGGATATACTTTTCCAGTAGCTCATTTCTAAACTTCATCAAGTATATATGGAAAAATTAATTGGCTATCAAGTGATATATTTACACTGAACATTGTCAGCAGGTATTAGTTTGCCCTGTCCAAACTCTGAGCTGCTGATTTTACTCAGTGAAGATAGTGAAACATTATGATCAGGTCACTTTTTGGCTCATAGAGGAGGCAGGGTTTCACAATATCCAGCATTAGTCAGTGGGGTCAACAGGCCTCTTAACTTCTTTGGCCATTTAAAATGGGACATCACCATCTATGAATAACATTTCTCTGTATAAAGAAAACAACATCTGATCCAGAAAGGCTAAAGGTGCTGCTGATTCTTTTAAGATACCTTATGGTCTAAAGGGTGTCTGCTAAAAACTCTTAATGGTTCAATTCTCCCAGCTGTGCTCCAAGAAGTTACTGTCTGAATATAAGCACTTTGAGCAAGATCAGTGTGCTGATTTTCAGAAGTGTACGGGCTGTAAAGACTAATACGGCTTTTCTCTCATTGTTGTTCACAGCATCTGCCTCTACGAGAGGGAGAAGCCAAAGTCGAGGTGAGTGATGCTGTTCTTTAAGAAGTCTCCTTTTTTCAGTTCAGCATAATTCAGGTGTGTTAAATGGACCTGTTTTTTAGCAGGAATCCACCAGTTTACATGTAGAGCAGTCAGATGGGGTACCTGGATCTGCACCACTTCAGATGTGAACTATGAATCTGTAAGCAGTTGTTTAAACAAGCTTGGTGTAAAAATTGACCTTAGTGAAAGCCATGGTAGTTCAGACTCTATTGGAAAGGAGGATCTACTTGGAAACCTGCATGTCTGAGGGCATAGTCTTCCATCTTGTCTGTTCACTACCATAACCTTAGTCCATCCATGCTCTGGGACTGCTCTCTTGACATATTTGCAGTAATTGCATTCACGCTTCTCCTACTGTGATCTGTCTAGCAAACCATAAAGCCATACCCTGAAATAATCTCATGCTCGTAGGAAAGAGATGGTTGAGGAAATTGCAGACTTACTGTGGTCTGTGCAGCCAGCTCACTGTAAAGCTCTGCATTGCTTAAATCGTTCTGCTCTTCTAATAATTTATTAACAGTGTTGGGGGAAAGAAGGATTATCTTGGTCTCCAAGAATGTAGTATCTGTTTCCAGTTGCTTGAAGAGGAAACTTAATGTCACTTTATTCAAGTTAATTTTAGCAGTGGGTATAAATCACAGCATGGTTTTGCACAGTCCTCCTGGAGAGTGTCACATTCCCAATTATTCTGCCTCAGATCACCACAGTCTCCTCTAGCACACTACATACCTGAGCTCCCAGCAGAACTAGCCATGCATGATAAAGCAGACACCAGAGAATCAGGTCCAGCTTCTCATATTACTTCAGAAAATAATTCCAATCCATCATCTTCTCCACGTGAATGCCAAGTATTTCTTTTCTAGTGCATGCACTGTCAGATTTCATCATAAGGGGCATGTATCACATGTTCTGGCTACCTACTTTGCTTGTGGGAAGCGATTTTAAAGGTCTACCCCAGCCAAAACACATTAACTTTTTAGCTTCTCGTGCTGGACAGTAAAGGTCCAGTGAAAGAAAGGTAATAGCATTGAATACCTGGTGAGAATGTTGGCTGAAAACTGGACTGGTTACATTCAGTGATCCAAAGGAGAAATCAGCATGTAGTAAGAGACTGAATCATATAGCCCATTGCAGAGATGCCAGTTTTACCTAAGAAGTAGTAGGGAATTTGTGTATTTAGTAAACTTCTTTTGGCTCTCTAATTTTTTTTGTTCAGAAGGACAAGAAAAATATTTGTGATGAGTGGGAATATCAGTGTGATTGAGGACTACATAATTAGACCTTCTATCTGACAGTGGCAACATTATTGACTTCAGCAGAGGCCATCAGTGAGTGAAATATAATTCCCTGGAATTTAAAGTAATAAAATGTGACCCCAAAACAAAAATTTGCCCATTTCCAACAAATTCACATGGGCCATGAGTGCTGCTTAGATTAAGCAACAAGTCAGCAAGGTGGAACATAGACAGCAGGAAGCAAGGAATTCACTTCAGCCTGAAGATTCATTCCCAGCTCAGGGTACAAATTAATCTCTCTGTGTATTCATGATCTGCTTTTTATCTTCCCAGAGAGTGAAATACGAGTCCGACTGCAGAGCGCATCTCCCTCTGGCAGATGTAAGTTATTCCAGGGGTATCAGGGATAAGATAAAGGGTGTTGCTGCTAGAGTTATGTCTTCTCTTGTTAAGAGCATTAATTTGAGTCCCCTTTCTGGACAAGAAAGCATGCTGTGGGTTAGGTGGTGCTCTTGAAGGATGTAAAATGGTGCTTAGTCCCAGAAACATCCTCTGGAGCTTTGTCATTAACTGGCACCTGCAGAAAGTAACAACTTCATAGACATGCAGATAAATTCCACTGAATGATTTCTATTCAGAGCAAGGTTATAGATCAATGGGTGACTCTGGACACTTTCTTTTCCTGCTAGGGACAGAGCTGGATGATGTGAAACGTTTGCTGAAAGGAAGTCGATCTGCCAGCTGCAGCCCTACTCGGTCACCATCCAGTACACTCCCGATACCGAAAAAGGCTGTGGTGGAGACGAAGATGGTCACTGAGAGCTCTCAGTCAGGTACTTGGCTTTAGCAATGTTGCAGTCGTTCCAAACAGCATTTGCCATAAAAAGTACTCGGTTGCTAAGAACATCCAGATAAGAATACATGGCGTCCCTGTACAGAAAAAGTCTCAGAATGCTGCAAGACTGTCCAGGTGCTTCATAGCAAGAGCCATCTTGGGTATCTTTCTAGTGATTAGTCTGATTTCCAAAAAAATGAGTCCATTCTTTCTGATACCAGCTTCAATTCAGAGGTATTTCTAGCAGAGATAAGAGCTCTAGGCAAACGTGTCTGAAAGTGATTTGATCTCTTATCTCCAAGTGAGACAGAGATAGGACTGAAGACATTTCAGTGAGTGATTTATTAGCCATACCATTTGATAATACCTCATCAGGAACTGTATGACAAGACAAGGAGGAATGGCTTCAAACTGAAAGAGGGCAGGCTTAGATCAGATATTAGGAAGAAATTCTTTACTTTGAGAGTGGTGAGGCACTGGCACAGGTTGCCCAGAGAGGCTGTGGATGTGACGTCCCTGGAAGTGTTCCAGGTCAGGATGGATGAGACTTTCAGCAACCTGGTCTAGTGGGAGGTGTCCCTGCCTATGGCAGGAGGTTGGAACTAGATGATCTTCGAGGTTCCTGTAATCCCAAACCATTCTGTGATTCTGTGATTCTTTGATTCTGTGATTCTGTAACTGAAGTGGTACTTAAAATACTTGAAAACAAACGTTTTTAGTTATTTATACACCTCATGATAGGGCTTGAGGAAGTGGTATTGACATTGACTCCATTGACTTCCACCAGTATCTAAGAACAATATCTTTTATCTTACTCAGAGCTCCAATCCTGTCTAAAAGAGAATTTTAGTCCGATAAATAGTGAACCAATCAGAGACATATGTGGGAAGCAAAAGCTATACATCACATGGCCCAGGGTGATTTATTAAAGGACTGAGAGACTAGAGTGGTTTATTCTGGTGCCATAAGATCTATGAACAATGAAATCTTTTCAAGGTGTTTTGTGAATGTTCATGCTATCAGGTCAATCTTTATTCCATTGGTTAAAATTTGTGTGGGCTGTAATCACCTGACATTTGAGGTCAGTTATGCCATGCTAACCTGAAGTCACTGGGTTGACTCTATAAGGGTAATTGAAATGTAAGTTGTTTGCCCTGTAAACCTGCAGTGCATGCTAAGCCACAAGCCTGGACTCGTTGAAAACTACTTCTGTCTCTTTGGTTTTTTACAGTGTCAGGGACATATGACACAACCATATTGAATACTGCCCTCCCGTCATACATGTGGTCCTCCACTCTGCCTGCTGGGTCTTCCCTTGGTGGATACCATAACAGCTCTTCCTTGATCAATGCCATGTCTCACTCTACAGGATCAGGTGTGCTCCCTGGATTGCCCTGATTTGAAGGATGGAACTATCCTGAAACTGGGTCCAAAGCGTGGGGTTTTTCACACAGCACAAACTAAAATGATGGAATAATCAAAATGGCAAGGGATATGCTTGAATTTTCTCTAATGTGTAATTTTTTGGTTTTCTGTAATGTAGTGCTGTCTGCTTCTACACTGACTGTATCTGAAAATCCTTCTTTGTGTGGATTTATTGTCCTGACTCTCTGACGGTCACTAAATTTTCATGACATCTTTATCAATGAGGTCAAGCTCACATTCCCTATAAAAACTAGTTTAGAATCAAATTAATATTGGATTATCCTGGCTCATTGTAAGAATGACTCATATACTAAAAATGTTGTAAATAAGTTTTGTGTGTTCTTACACCTGGTGAGGCCCATTTCTAAATGCCAGGGATTCTGCATTCCCCAGTTGCAGAGAAAAAACACAAGAAGCTTTATGAAGGTATACTATTAAAAGCTTTATTTTCTCTCACTGTCACATGATCTCATCTTCTCTGAGGTAGGATTTTTTTGCCTTTGTCAGTTCAGTAAAAGGGCGGTTTGTTGTCACAATTTTCCTCTGTGCAATTGTGCATTATCATTAGTTGCATTTCCAAGTTGAACCTTAATTTCTGGGACTGTACCACTGACCTTTGGGTGTTGGATTTATGATTTATGATTTGAGAGAAGTAATAACATTTCACTTTCTCTTTTTGCAGTTTTTGGTGTTCCAAATAACCTGGCTCCCAGCAATCATACTCTGAATGCAGGCCTGAGCTCTTCCTCTACAGGTCAGATTTTTCTTCCATTCACACTTTGCCAGCACTGCATTTCTGGCAGACAAGTACAGTGAAATAATACCTGTATACCAGTTTCTCTCCTCTTCCTCATCTGAGTGTCAGCAGCTCTTTGCCCCACCTGCACAAATGTCCATGCAACCATGAGAGTGGCCTCACATTTTAACTCAAGATAGTATTTTAAAATGGTCACCATTATTGTCCTGGGCCAGCAATAACAATACAGCAAAGTGAACTAGGTTACAAAACATTTTGTGAGGCCTGTGGCGCCTCCAGAAAACTGGTGAAATTTGTTGGGAGAGGTCATTATTTTTGTATCACTGGTTTTGTTTGGGTTTCAACCAGAATGCCACCTGCACTTCAGGACTCCTATAACCCTCATTGCAATGTTTTTCTTTGCAGTATTTGGAGTTCAAAACAACCTGTCTCCAAGCACCACTTCTGCAACCCAGAATGCTACAGCAGCTTCTGCAGGTCAGCAACAAAGTAAGCCTAGGAAAAGCTGGGGGTCACCAGTGTGTGCTTCCTTCTCCCACCTATTCTGTAGTGACTAGAGAGTTCATCTTGACAGAGGCCCCCTCATCACCATCTTCCTGTGTGACACAGTGTGGTATGAAGGGATATTGAGGAACATTTCCTCTGCTTTGCATGTGCAGGAACAGCTCCCTGTGCTGATGCACTAGAGATTTGCTTGTTGGGGAAACCTTTGGTTGTTTGAGTTGTCCTAGGAACACTGAATGAGAAAAGATTTTTGAAATGCTTTGGTGTGTGTAGATCCCTTGTTATCCTTCATCTCTGTCATTGTTGAATTCCTTCTTTGCAGCATATGGGATGAAGAACACTTCTCAGAGCAACACCATGGCAAGTACTGGTGTGTCTGCCTCAGCAGGTGTGTATCATTCACAGGTGTTAAGGCATGGCCTTGTATAAGCATATCATAAAAATGAGTTAGAGATTCAGCATAGCTGAGTGAAACTCAGGTAACTTGTCACTAGCCAAGTCTCCTACCTTTCTGAAAAGAAAGAGAGTCAGAATCTAAGAAGGAGCAAAGGAACTGGTTCTGATTCAGATCTCTATAATAATTTGGATTGTTTAATTCTGAGCTATTTCTGCTCAGCAGGCAGGAAGCTGGATAGAAGAGCACACATGTGAAATTGTACTTCGTTTAAAGTCAAAACATTTGCAAGGTCGCTCTTAAAAATAATTTTTCAGTTGTACCAGCTTCAACCACTCAAAAATGAAGGAATTGACTTATACATGATCAGATTATGTTTTTTTAATGAGAGAAGCTCTTTGTCCTTGAACAGCTAGGATTCTTCCTTCCCAGCTCTTTTCTGCAACTCTGAGAGTTATAAATTACACTTTTTTTGAATGTGTGTGTAAAGAAAGTCGTTTGCCTTGTAATCTAAGGACTTCCAAAGATGAGGCTTAAAAATACATGTAAAGATCACAGAAGTTATGATAACATTTCTAATTCTAATTTCTAATTTCTCCAGGTTCTGCTAGACTAGTGGAATAATACAGTTCTGTTTATCTTGATTTTCAATATTGTGTCAGTCTGCAAATTCGTGTTTATATATGAGTCCAGACATACTTCTTAATGCCTAGTGGCACAAGAGTGACCACAGTGATGATTTTGAACCTTATTTGGCCTGTTCCAAACCTCAGTAAATTACACTTCAATGTCTCCTAACCCTGCCTGGCTCCCAGGATACGAAGTGCTTTGTGCTTGACAGAGTAACTTGGCAGTGCTTGATGGGCTCCTCAACTTGAGCTGTGCTGGCTCTGTTGACCCCTGAATATCTCTCTCAGGCTGAGTTTCTCTGATTCCACAGGAAGTGTGTTTGAGGAGCAAAGAGCTCATTGAGCAAATCATTTCTACATATGATTGAATTCCAGATGGCAGCAGGGGCTCCCCTGCGAGTGAAATGCACATCTCCAAAAAAACCTAATGACATGCACAGCTCTCCTGTTACCTTTAGTGGCCAGTATGTCTCTTACAGGGCTCTTATTGTAGTGGCAACCCCAATCACAATGTGACCACCTGTTTTTATGAACAAAAGTGGTGTGGCTTGTAGTAATGGTCTCAATGGCCCACAGTCATCTCCTCTTTACCATGTTTTACAAATATTCCAGGAGGAACTGTTTCGAGCTCCCAGGGAGATGACATTCTGCGCAAAGACTGCAAGTTCCTGCTGCTGGAGAAGGAGAAGGCACCAGCAAAGGAGATGGAGCTCTTGGTCATGACAAAGGACACTGGCAAAGTCTTTAGTGCTTCTAACACTGGGCTTAATGGAGGTAACGTCCCTTTTTCAGGACATGTGGTTATTCTGAGGGCAGAGAAATGGAGGCTGATCATAGGGGAAGTTCAGCGTTCAGGGCACTACCCCTGGCTTGTACATCAAACAAGAACCTCTGACAGGCAGGCAGCTTTTTACCATGCCAGCTGAAACCTGGGTCTGGCTTTTGCATTTGAAGCTCCAGAGTGTGCCTCAGGGTATTTCACAAAGCTGATGAGCTTTGAGAGAAAAAAACCCAGATCTGGTTTAGACAGGCAGGGCTATTGTGTCTTCCCAAGAAAAATACTCCTTTTACCAATGGAAGAAGATAGGCCTGGTTTAACTTCTGGTGTAATGTTTCTAATTATATTCGGTTCCTGTTCAGGATCTTTTGTAGAAGACACCTTAAAGAAAGAGAAACAGGGGTTTTCCTCCTCTTATGCTACAGATACTGGCCTAAAATCAGATGCAAATGGTAAGAGTTTGTTCTTGTGGAAATGCAACAGAACTTTCTCCTATTGCCTCCATTACTACCTTTCCCTTTCAAGCCCACGCTCTAAATTCTGTCATACACAGAAAGACTGGTAAAACCTCTTTTACTGTTTTTAAAACAGGAGGGCTGACATCCATGCCAAAAAGGGACAAAGAAACTTATGCAGGTAAGTGATGCAACTCAGACTTTCATTGAAGAAGCACCAAAGCATAATATACAAAAAAGCAATTGTTCTTGACGGACACAAGTAATCTCTGAGCAATGAATCAGAGGGAGGGGGTGTTCAGGAGGCTACCAGAGAAATTGCTACCAGTGATTTCATTGTAGATGAATGGAGAGTTGGGGTATTTTTTATACCTAGAGAAAATCAGATAGCTGACAGTCCAGCTACTGATATTGGCATCCTGATACTGGGACAGATTTATGGGGAAGAGAAGGCTCAGACAGACCTTGCTAGCTATTGCTGTCATTTATGGTTCAGATCTGTACAAAGAATTTACCCCTATGTGATCATGTTTTCCAGCTGTTATTTTAAAATGCACTAAATGTTTTTGTCCCCTGTTTGAATTCCCTTTGGAAATACTGTTCCCAGCTTTCACAGGGACTGGAATTACACTCACCATATGCACAGAGTGGTGTGAAGATTTTTTCCCATAGCCCTTTATGTAATGGATCAGACCTTGATGTCCTTATTGTAAGAGATTCTTAACTCTGAAGTTAAGGAACTCTTCATTAACTGGGAGATTGCTCCTTCCCTCTTCCAGAAATACGAGGTGGTGATGCAGGAGGTGCAATTGGATCAGCACCATCCTGGTGTCCCTGTGGTTCCTGCTGTAGCTGGTGGAAATGGCTCCTGGGTTTGCTTCTAGCCTGGTTGTTTCTCCTTGGATTGCTTTTCGGACTCATTGCTCTGGGTAAGAAATAACTGAGGAAAAAAATGTTGAATGGTATAGAAGGACAGAGGGTTTAAGCTGGGAATAATTCCAAGCACCAGAGATACCAAGCTAGAGAACTGAGGAAAACATTCAGCTTGATGGTGACTTGCCACGGAGATATTACAAATGGACAGAAAGAATGGATAAGGAATACAATCTTTGTTGAAGTGTTATATAGTCTTGGGGTGAGTAGGATATGAAGGCTCCTGAGATCTGAGGTCTACTGCTCTGAGACTGACAGATTCCAAAGTTGTCATTTAAATTCCAGATATCCCTACTGGGTAAAAAAAAAGATACAAAGAATTCTGCAAAACTCATTGGCCATAGTTACATGACATGGTTGCCATGTTCCTGTGACAGCAGGAGATATTTCAGGCATGCTTATCTGGTAGAAGGTTCCCTAGCATTTTCCTTTAACCTTCCAGCTGAAGAAGTGAGAAAACTGAAATCTCGTGTGGAAGACCTGGAAAAAATCAATGGTGGCCTCCTGGCAATTAATCAAGAGAATTCAAAACTAGAAAAAGATGTTTCAAGAGTAGACTTTCTTCACGGTAACTCACCCTCCTCGACCTTCCCATATGAAAATGAAGAGTCAGTCTGGTTGATGGTGAAGAGCAGACTGAATAAGGAAATAGAACGAGGTGAGCAGAGTCAAAAAATGAACCCATACCTTATTTCTCATGCTACTTTTGTTAGCAAGGGAAAGGTGACTTACTTTTATTTAGTACATGATGGAAAGAGATGAACAGCAGAGGAGCCAACATTCCCCATCTTTAGAAATTTCACATATTTGTGAACACAGATTTACTGTAAACTCACAAAACCATACTGTGCTGCCTTTAGCCTCAAATGGATGGATCCTTGGTCTTGAAATGAGTAGCTACTCTGCTGTATAATGCACTCTAACAGCCCCTTCTCTTCCTGTTACAGGCTACTTCCGAGGGGAGAGAGGAGAACGTGGTGAGAAAGGTACAGCCATATAGTCATTCTCTTCCCCTGTCCAGTTCCTTGGCTCTGGCAATGCACAATTTTGGGGTGGTTGTTGCTTCAAGGGGAAATTAGCAGTGAGGAAGATGAAGATGGCTTATACTTGAACAAAAATAATTAGAATTGTTTAGGTTGGAAAAGACTTTGAAGATCATGGAGTCCAACCATAAATGTAACAATGTCATGTCTGTCACTAAACCACCTCCCTAAGGGCACATCTACATGTCTTTTCAATACCTTCAGGGACAGTGATTTAACCTCTTCCCCTGGGCAGCCTGTTCCAATTTCCCATAACCCTTTTGGTGAAGAAATTTTTCCTAATATTCAATCTAAACCTCCCTGGTGCAGTGAGGCAATTTCTTCTTGTCCTATTGCTTTTTATTTGGGAGAAGTGGCTGACCCCCAGCTCATTACCCACCTTCCAGGCAGTTGTAGAGAGCAATAAGGTCCCCCCTTAGTCTTCTCTGTCCCAGGCTGAACACCCCCGGCTCCCTCAGCCCATTCCTCAGGACTTGTATTCCAGATACTTCACTAGCTCTGTTCTCCTTCTCTGGATCCACTCCAGTACCTCAAGACCTTCTTGTAGTGAGAAGCCAGAACTGGACACAGCACTGGAGGTGTAGCCTCACCAGTGCTGAGTGCAGAGGGACAATCACTGTCTTGCTCCTCCCAGTTTGCCATGTAAACTGTAGAGACCCTGATCCCACACTGAACAATACAGGAGGCCCCAGTCTTGCATTGTACCACTGTGAAAGGCCAGATTGGGTCTGATCCTGTTCTATTCAAATGTGAAGTGTCCTGTTTAGCCATAACTCCTTTGTATTTCATTGAAGATGGGAAAGCATCTAGAAGACAAAATGAATGAGTAATCATAAGATATCTCTTGATTCAACTTTTTTTTCCACTTTTCTCAGGTGACATGGGAATACAAGGTCCCAAAGGTGAGTCTGGAGTTACCTGCTTTCTCAGTTAGATTGGAAGCCTGTCGTAGGGCCTGAATAGCAAATGGTGTTTTGTTACTCCAGAATTTGGAGAAGTGGATGTTAGTTCAGATATTGTTGTGAAGGTTGGCTTTTTCTCTTGCGTTCTGGTCAAAAAAATTTAGAGTTCATAGTAGAAGAGATACAGATCTCACTTTGAATCTAGAAGCTCCTTTAGCCTGAATGGAAGTCATTCCTGAAGCCAGGCTCTACCTGGTTTAATCACAGAGTGCCTCAGTGCCCAGAGGGTTTAGCATGATGTAAATGATTCAATTATTTGCATAAATACAAGGGAGGAAATTGTTGGAGACACTAGAACTTGTAAATATTCCAGGAGCATAAACTTCTTTTTATAAGGGCAAGGGTTAGCCAAAGTGACAAAAGGAGAAGACTTACTCCCCACTGACTGTGTCTTTGTTTCTGTCTACAGGTGACCGAGGACTTCCTGGTGTCCCAGGTGGGCTATAGTTCAATTCCACTTTGAGGGAGGACATATACTTGCATTACTGTGGGCAAGAACAAATTTTGCACTTCCTTGCAAGATTCCTTGAACATAGATCAAGGTGGTTCTCTAAAGAGTCAATATTTAGCATAGACTAAGTCATTTGATTAATACCTTGGTGCTGAGCTACAGACACAACTCAGAGACTGGTTGCAAGCAAAGCCTTGGCCAGACTTCTTAGTTGAACATGCTGAATTTGGGGTTGTGAAGATTTCAGTCTACCACTGAAAGAGTCCTACAGCTGCAAAAGTATTTGGTTCAGCTTTCTTGTGCTTTTATATGTATTGTGTTCTTCTAAAGAAATCAAATACTCACCTTATGAGTAATATATTCTTTACCTCATAGAGTTAATCTCTCCAGGTTTGAGGTTCCCCTAAACTGCATGTTATTGCTTTATGGTCCATAGTCAAGAACTCTGAATGCTTACTGCGTTTTCTTTCCAGGCATTCCTGGTCCAATTGGGCATGCAGGACCAGAAGGACCAAAAGGACAGAAGGGAAGCATGGGTGAGCATCTCAGTCAGTGCTGTGAGTCTTTCACAACTGACTGGCACATGGCATGGGAATATAGATACCTGGCTGGTGTGATCATTATCTTCCCCAGTGGAGCTGGCCATGGATCCTTTTTCCCAAGGCCTTCCTCCCACAGACTCCAAGTTTTACAAGGCGTTTGTTTCCTGTAGGAGAGCCTGGCATGGAAGGTCCTATGGGACAAAGGGGTAGAGAAGGATTACCAGGACCTCGAGGGGAGCCAGGACCACCTGGATTTGGAGAAAAAGGAGACAGAGGTAGGAACCAAGTGTCTTGTTGGATAAAACAGAGATGGACGAAAGCAAGACTTTGATGCTGATTAATAAAACACCTCAGTGATAAGATTTGATTTCACCATTCAAATCTAGATTTCATATCTCGACATTTCCCAGCACAGATTAATATGGCCTAAAGATTTTTTTTAACCCAGACTTATAATGGGTAAACAAGGATTGCTTTGGTTTCCCAGATCTTACAGTCAAATTTGAGTCTGACAAAATCAAAATCACTTTGCTGTCAAGGTTATCTTCTTCCCTGTTATCCAGATCATCAGAGCTGGGGGATTTGTCTTGCTAAAGCCCAGTGAGCTCACATTGTTTTCTTGGACTATGCATATCTATTTGGGTGTTTTGACCTGATGAGCAGATTATTGATGACACTTGCCAGAGAAAGAATAACAGTAGATGGAATAATGGAAAAATGGGATCATGGCTGTATTCTACCATGTCTATTCATGCTCTTATTTTGCAGGTGCTGTTGGTGAGCCAGGTCCTCCAGGGCCACCTGGACCCCCAGGTTCTGCTGGCCTAAAAGGTAAATGTGAAGATGGAGAGAGAACACCTAGCAGAGAGGTTCAGAGTAAAGGAGCATCCTAGCTGTCCTGTTTCACTTGTGCTGCTCTGCAGTAACCAGAAAAGTGAACTAACTGCCTGAAGCACAGATCTCAGAATCTCAGCTGAGATGGATGGCATGGGTCTCTTTACTTAAGTGGAGAACATTTCCTCATTGTCACAAGGACTAAGTTCTCTAAATTTTTATCCTGGTTTTGAGGATGCCAGTAATGCAAATTCTTCTACTGGCTAGGGAAATTCCAATCCACTGAACACCTGTTGGGTTGTGGATGTTGTTGGGCAAACTAAAAGCAGTTTGTTCGTTCTCTGATTGTGGTGTTACTAAAAGAAAATCCATGTTCCTTTCAGGTCTGATGGGTTCTCCAGGCCCACAAGGTCCTCCAGGTGAGTGCTGCATTCCTTTGCTGTGGCATCTAGAGACTGGGGAGAACAAAAACAGAGTGGCAGTTTCTCATAGTGTTTCTGCTTCTGTACTGCATTGTGATAAGTGGGATGAATGAAAACCCCTATCGCATTTTTCTGCAGGTCCTCCTGGCCTACAAGGATTTAGAGGTGAAGCAGGACTCCCAGGTGCTAAAGGTAACTTTGTCTTCCCCCTGGCAATTAAAGCACCACTCGCTAAGGTGCTTTTCTAGCACTGCTCTGAGCAGCAGACTTGGTCTGACCATGTCACATTTTGATTCTATGGGCAAGAAAAAGCGTAAGACTGAAGAAAAGGGAGGCAAAACAAAACTTAGTCAATGATTTCTAGAAAGTATTGAGAAATGCAGTAGACATAGAGATAATAGAGCAGTTTAAGAGAGGAAAAACAGTTGGGTGGATGGAGCTGTGTTAAAGGAAAAGGGCTTCCAGTTTGAGTTTGTCTGGCAACACAGAATCTGTATTTCCCTTATGATTTTTCTTGATGCATTAAATGCCTTTCCCTTATTACTTGTTATTACTATTGTTCAATCATCCATGTATCTTTCAGGTGAAAAGGGAGCAAGTGGACCCCCTGGACCCAAGGGTATGTTGCCCAATTAGGTATCTTTTGTGGTTATTTTCTTTAGATTCCTTTAGATATGGATACTGTCCATAGATTTTACCCTTATCCATCTTCGGCTTTTTCTTCTGTGCTCTTGTCAGAAAGCAGACTTTATTTTCTCTGATGGAAACATTTTACAATGAAGCAATCTCACAGAATGCTTCCTTTTTTTGTACCACAGGTGATCAGGGTGAGAAGGGTTCTCGTGGAATGACAGGTCAGTAGTTTGAAATACTGGAGTAACAGCCAACCTAATAAAAGTATAGCCCAGCCAATCCCAGTTAGCTTTCTGAAACATTATAATGATGTTACTGGTTATAGGAGTTGTATTTTTGCACCAAAATTATAAACAAATAGATCTCATTCTTGATCCCAGTAATTTTGGTAACAATCTTTGTATTTAGCTTTATGAAAATCCTCTCTCACATGCCCTGTATTCATGTCACTTGAGCATTTCTAATGCCCGGAGACAGTTCTGAATCATGAGGCCTGAACATCCTGTCAACGCTGGTTTTCAGTTGCAAAGCAGCAAATATTGCTGACAGAATTGTTCAAGAGTTGTTTGATTTATTTTCATACTCTTTTGCTACAGGTGAACAAGGCTCAAGAGGAATACCTGGACTTCCAGGAGAGCCAGGGGCTAAAGGACCTCCAGGTGGGTACCAGAAAGCAGCTGTATTTCTATGTGAGGCAATGTCACTGCCACCCAGATTGTGTTGCTGTGAGCACAGACAAGGAAACAACATGGGAGTGGAATCGTGCTTGTTGTGATCCTAGGTCTCTCCTTTAGACAGCTGTGATTAGTCTGTACACTCAGAAGAAATGTCCTACAGTTAAGTTTTGAATGAATGCTTCCTGGATCTTCAGTAACTGCAGCCAAGGTTTCTTTCACATGCGATGTGATGAAAAGCCACTCTTAGGTTTAGGGCTGTGCTCCACTTTGGAGGAAGACAGGATAACTGTGCTACTGTTTCAGAAGTCCCTGACAATCTCTTTCTTTGGACAGGACAAGCTGGTCGTGATGGAAAGCCAGGTGAAAAAGGTAAGGGCATCCTTTGGGCTAGAAGTGTAGGTAATTTCTGATTTGGCAGGAGGTTGATTTGTAAAAGGGGTGGGAGGAAGATGGCAGCAGATTTGTGTTCCAGGATCTTCTGTGTCAGACCTGGGAACTTCTGTCTCAGAGTCAACCTGTAAACCTGGAACTGAGACATATAATGGAGCAGGCTGTAAACTTGTGACAGTTACCGCTCTACAGAATTCTTCTGTCATTGGTGTTCCCCTCCCAGACACTGATGCTGGAGATGGCCACTTGGCTGTGACAATATAATAGGTGGAAAGTGCTGCAGGACAGCCAAGCTCGAATGGATTGGTAGATTGTATGTCTGTGACTTCTGTCTTGTTAATGGTGATTATATCTCTAGGTGAACCAGGTCTTATGGGAATGCCAGGTGCCAGAGGTCCTCCAGGACCCACTGGAGATGCTGGAGAGCCAGGTAAAAGCATATGGAGAACAAAGGTGCTTTTGCTTAGTCAGGAACACAGATGCATTTGTCAATTTCCAGTCTTAATTTGAATTTAAGTCTGGCAGAGGATCTCTGTATTCTTAAGGTAATGATGAAAGGAAAATACACGAGAATCTAGACTCTATGATCCCAAAATTGCCCACAGTGCAAACATCAGCTGCTATGAGCTGATTTACATACCACTTGCTAGGCCAGTTTCCACCATTTGTGAATTGTGTGCTATAATTTCACATAAATGTAATCTCTTTCTCCCTGTCTATCCTTTTCCCACATGAAAATCTTTAGACATCTTAAGACTTTTTGCCTTTTTCTGACAGGTCTTACAGGACCTCAAGGACCACCAGGTAGGCTTTTCCACCATATTCCAAATTATCAATTACACACTTCGATGTGGGTTAAAAAAACCTTTGTAATTTTCCCGCTATGGTGCTCAGGGCTTCCAAAGTGATATCCCAAGGTTTCTGCATCTCCTTTGGCTTTTGAGAAAGGTTTTGTGCAAGATGTGTAATTTTTGAGCAATACAAGGCTTTCGAGTGCTGAAAATTTGCCTTTCCCCAAAACATAACATTTCAGTTCCCTATGCATCACTGAGAAGTCCTTCTAATCAGCAGCAGAAACAGAAGGGAGAGGATTTAGCAATAAGAGATGGAAACAGAGGATGTGACATCTGTAAGCAGAGGTGGTTGTAGGGGGACAGTTCATCAGGGAATTCATCCAGGAGCCTCAGGACAGGCAGCAATACCTAAAAGAAGCTACAGGTAAATCTGGGAAGCAGTGTTGTCATCCAGGGAGCAGTGGGATCAGGGAAGCTCAGGGACACTACCAGCTCAGTCTGCTCCTCCACTTACTTATAAAGTCCTCAGGGACCTGCTTATAAAGGCTGAAAGCTGGAGTCTTGAGTAGGGAGCTCTATAAACCCACAAGTGAAACAGCTGGGATATCTGAAAAACATACAGCAAACATTATTTGCACTAACCATTTTAAATTGTTTGTCTACCTCATATCAGGACTTCCAGGCAACCCAGGCCGACCAGGGGCTAAAGGTGAGTGCTGTTTCTTCCCCAGTGCTCATTTTCTCTCTAAGGATTTCATTCTAGCAAGGGTCTAGCTGCTCCACTATCCAGTGGATCAACAGTGGCATCTAGTGGCTTTGGGAAGGGAAGGTTTGAGAAGCACAGTAGCCAAAGCTTCCCTGAGCGTAGACAGAGAGCAGTGAGGACATCTGCTGAGGGACTTGGCATGACAGCTCTCCTCTGAGCAAACCTTTGAAGCCCAGTTCTGCCCTGAGCTTGAGTAAGGTGCCTGGTGACTGCAGTGGAAGCTGTGTGCCTGCCTCGGATAAATCCAGGCTATTGCCTATGCTGGCAGATGTTGTGCTTGGAAAGCTGATCAGCTAATCTCTGGATTAGCACAGTTCTCTTGCTTCCCCCTGACCTTCTAGTGCTGTGACTTCTCATACAAGAGATCGAGGGCAAAAAGAACAGAAACTACATCCTTAATAGTACTATGTTATTGAGCTTATTATAGCTCTTACCCCTGCCCCCCAAAAAAAACCCTCAACTTTTCTACCTTTGTCTTCCTAGGAGAACCTGGAGCTCCAGGAAAAGTTATAAGTGCAGGTATGTAGTGCTGTGAGGGATCACACTTCTGACATAGGAGGGTTTTCTCTGGGTTTTTTTGTGCCTCCTCAATTCATCTTAACTATGTGTCAGACCTGTACTGGGGCTCCCTGTTTTGGGAGAATATGTATATAGATGTGGCATTACTTAAGCATAGATTTGTACACATTCACTGGATGTGTGAATTTAAGTGTCTGTGTGCAAATCTATGTGTTTGTTTTTCAGAGGGTTCATCAACTATTACTGTGCCAGGCCCACCAGGTCCCCCAGGCCCACCTGGCCCCACTGGTCCCCCAGGTGTTCCAGGTGAGTACTGATGAGTACAAAGTAGTGATAGATCAAATCCAGGGACTAGAATCAAGCTCTTTGACTGCTCAGGAATGCAGGTTAATGTCTAAATCCCTTTTCCCAGCACTGTTGCTGAAATTAGGAAGTGCTTCTTTTCCAGTCTCAGCTTTGAGCTCAAGGCAGCAGAACTCCCACTCAAGCATCTGTAAATCTTTCTCACGCACACACACTGGCTGTGCATGAGCTTGGGCCTCAGACTTCTCTCAGACACTGCCTCTAGCATGCTGGTGTCAGGCAGCTGAGTTCCTGAGCCCTGATTCTCATGGCACTTCTGTGCCTGGAGCTGGTCTTGGAGCTGGTTTGGCAGAGACAGTCTCAGTTTGCAGTATGGAATGCGAGAGGAGGATTAAGCCTTTTGCATTCCTTTTCTACTGTGGTCAGTGGCATTCTGGTTATTTCCCCAGTCCAAGAGGCACCAAGCATTTTAATTGCTGGAGGATGGAAATTCAAGTAATACATTGGACACTGATGAATTCGTACCCCATAACAATTCCATTTAGTTGTGTAGAAAAATATATTTTTGATAGTCTCAGTTCTTATAAAAGTCCTATTGATTCTTTTCTGCTGCTATAAAGCACAACCAGTAAAATCTAATGAAATTTGGGTTTCTTTCTTTTGAAACTAGGTCCTGTTGGACCAGCTGGTCTCCCTGGACAGCAAGGTACCGTTTTCCTTCAGCTTTGATTATGCTTTGTAAGAGAAAGGAATTCATTAGTTTTCCTTTTTTCTAATTCTCTAAGCCCTTGGCACATTCTCTCTCCTTTTTGTTCACAAATTTCTTCCTTTCAGTTCATTTTGTTGCATTATTTGGCCTAATTAATCTTGTAAAGAATTTTTATAATTTTTTGTTTTCCCAGGGGTAGAAGGAGGGTGGTAAGAGGGTGATAAGAGCCCGTGTAATGTGGATGCTGCAAATGGCTTTTTTTTTCTTATGCTATTTTTCCTGAGAGCTGATATTTCTAAGGCACTTCTCAAGTGCAGCTGCCTTTCTGTGATAGGGGATATAGCCCAGCTGGATACCTCCTGCCATTTTGAAAGGCGGAGAACAAACTAGAGCCAAATTGGGATTAATGTCACTGTGAAAGTGCTGCCAATTGGGCAGGCATCTCTTTGAAAGGGCCTGAACAGAGCTGACCCCTAAGAACCTTTCTTAGTGGTTTTTCTGTGATCCTGTTAGAGCAAACTGGGCAGTAATTTCCACACTTGAATGCAGTGTCCCTCAGATCTGGGGACTGAGTTCATGCTCCCAGTTCTCCTAAGAAAAGTCTGAACCTCTTGTTGGAGTAAGTACAAAATGTCACCCGCTCTCAGTTATATAACTCCCTTTTTTTTTTCCTGGAAAAAGGTCCACGAGGTGAGAAAGGATCCCCAGGTGAAGCTGTGATAGAAACCATCAGAACAGAGGTCTCATCATTAGCATCTCAAAGTAAGTGACCCTGCCTTTCCCTTCCTTTGCTTGGAAATGTTCAGAGCCTCAAGGCCTGCTCACAGCTCTCAGGAGATGCCCCTAACTCTTTCTTCTCAATGTGACATGGGGCAAGTGTGTGTGTGCGTGTGTGTGTGTGTATGTTTGGTGGTGTGTCTGCAATGCCAGCTACCTCTTCTGCCTCCTCATCCGTGCATCCCAAAGTCCTTTCAAAAGGAAGCAGATGGCATCAGGCCCACATCAAAGAGAGGGAAGCTGAGCAGCCATTAACAGGGGAGCTACTCACAGAGCTGAGAGCTTTCAGCCACTAAGTTCACACAGGGCAGTTCCCTGTGCAATATGAACATGGAGCCATCTGTAAGACAAGAACCATTTTGAACAGGCATGTTAATCTAAGCAACAGAAGTAATCTCTCTTCAAATTAAAGGATGGATTCACAGGAGAGCAAATATATTTTAAGATTAAAAAAAAATGTACCATTTTGTAAATTTTTTAAAATTTTAAGATGAAAATAAGTGGAGCAGAACAGAATGATTTAGCATCTTTCCAAGAGAAGCACTTGCTCTGTGCAGATGTGTGATGCAGTTAGAATTGGTATTCATAGGATCTGGGACCTCTGCAAGTTTGCAGCAAGGTAGAAGAGGGCATAAAATTATAAATGATCCTTGCCTGATCACCATTCAAATGGGGCCATGTAGATTCAGATTCAGACCATGCTTCAGTACTGTCCAGTTCCCCATTCAGGAGTCTTGGATCACAGCATCACTGAACTTTGAGTTTGTGCCTCAGCTTGGAGGTGAGGGTACATCGCACAATACAAGCAGGATAACACAGTGCAGCTGCTTGTTAAATAACATCTGTGTTATGTCTTCCTCCCAAGACTTGCCTCTTTTAAAGAATCTTTCCTCTTCTTGAAGGTCTTTCCCTCCTTCTTTAGCCTTGGAGTCCTTTGCCCTTTCTCTCAACAACCATTACTCTCCTCCCTGTTCCCAATATCCTGCTCAGTGCTGTATTTTGCTTCGTGTCCTAATCAAACACATCTCTCCTCTCCCTCCACTGCTTCGTCTTGGGCTTAGGTCATCCAGGTCCCATCTTAGTCCACCTTTGATTGTAAGAGCTTCTATCAGCAATATATTGACAGTTTCCATAGCAGCAGCAGCTCCATAGCAACAATTTTCCCTTGTTTGTGTTTTTCTTTTGCACAGTGCTGGCAGATTCACAAGGGCGAGCAGGACCACCAGGTCCCCCTGGACCACCAGGTATGTAGAGCTCAGTACCTAAGCAAGGAATGCTCACACAACATGGCATGTTTATGGGACATGCAGTTTGCTGGGTAAATGTTCCCTAATACCCCTGTTTCTTTTGTCATCAGGTGAATCTGTGCAGGGACCCCCTGGGCCTCGTGGTCCTCCAGGTAAGAGCTTGTTCCTCTGAAACCAAACTGGAAAGTGGGAGGTTTATTCCAAGGCCTAGGGCTGGAAGCAGAATGTCACATAGTGGCTTCCTACCAACACAGTTTCACTGCAGCAAGATGCTGCCCAACAAAGAACATTTGCTTTGGCAGAGGGTTCTAGCCAGAGTATTAATTAGTAAAAGCCATACTTTTTAGAAAGACCCTCAGTTTTCAAGTTGCCAAATGAAGTAACTGCAATCAAATCCATATTTACTTCTTACTTGTCCAGCCTTAACTTTCAACTGTGGACAGATGGGGAGGTTCTTATCATGAGGAACATATCCCTATGCCCTATCCTGTACACAGATTTCCCTTTCTCAGCCAGAACACGGGAGGTGTGGGAGGACATATAACAGGAACAGAACCCCATTCCTTGTTCTCTGCACAGTAGGAAAAGGGAGCAGGTTGGGTGTGTGATGGGATAAGCACCCAGCACCAGAAAGAAAGGAGTTTCTCTGTTCTCTTCTGCTGCAGTGGCAAATGATAGTGAAAGGTAACTATCAGGGATAGATGTGTGAAGAAAACAGTGATAAGAGCCTACACTGGGAAATACTCCAGCTAAGGCCATGGCTGGAGATGTAGCAGCTCTTACATTCATTTACTTACATTGCTGAGGCTGATCCTTCCTGAAGCCTTTCTGTGTCCCTTTGCCTAGGAGAAGGATTGCCAGGACCTCCAGGGCCACCAGGAAGACCAGGATCATCCATGTCCACCTCAGGTAGGTGCTTGCCACTCATTCCATCACCTGGTCCTGAGAATGTCTTGTTGGGGTTGAAGAGAATTCATATATATGGCTAGGACCAAGTGGAGCCAGAGAGACATTGTTTCATGTTCTGATGGATGTCATGAAGAAATCTCTTTCTTTGAATTGCAGAAGCATTCTTCACAGGCCCACCAGGTCCCCCAGGACCACCAGGCCCGAAGGGAGACCAAGGTGGGTATATCATGCTGCATAACCAAAGTGCTAGAGGGATCTCAGCAGCTTAGACTGAAAAGAAGGAAGGGCTTAGGAGCAGAAATTCCTGCCATTCTCTTTCTGTAAGAAAGCTAGCGCAGTTTTCACTAAGCAGGACTCCTGTCTGTTGTAAAACGAGTCAGTCTTTGTCAAAGAAATTTATTAGCCTCCAGTACTGGTGTCAGGGTAGTTGCTATATTCAGATCCCAATTATACACAAGAACATTCAGAACTTCAGATTTGCCATTGAAGGGGACAGCCTTTTTGCAAAATGCACTGTGGACTAAGTCAGTGCAAGGAGGTGGCCCTGTGAAGTGTAGCTCAGCTCTGAGCTGGCAGGAAAATGTTGACCTGCTCCCTTTACCCATTTCTTCTCCACAAATTGAAGGCCAAGATGATATATTGCAGTGTGGGCTGGGATGTTGCTGATGAGAATAAAGCAATCAAACCCTAACACTATTCCTCTGCTCCCCTCTTCACAGGCGAACGAGGTCCACGGGGATTCACAGGTAAGGAGATACTAGTGGGTTTCAGGGTAGCTTGCCTGGGTGTGTGACTGCTCCTTCATTTCTGTGTCTCTTGCAGGAGAACCAGGTGATCCTGGCCTTTCAGCATTCTCCTCCCACGGTTAGTATGTGACCCCTTTCCTCCCTTGAAATCATCGCCCCTGGGCTGAAATCGGCCCAAAATCCTGCTCTATTCATTCTAACTTAATTTTAGTAGAGCCAGGATTTTGTCCACATACTTCATTCCTGTCAATCTCTGACTCTCTTTCTGCAACTGGCAGGTGAAAGAGTCACCATACAGGGACCCCCAGGCCCACCTGGCCCACCTGGACCAAAAGGTGAAGTTAAAAATCTTTCTTTTTTGGGGGTAGCCTCACACATCCAAGCATGGTTGAGACTAAAGGATGGAACAACCCAGTCCTTTGGGAACTAGAACTGTGCTCACCCCTGCCTTTTCAGGCAAAGCAGGACCACAGCAATAGAAATGCTGTGAGCACAAGGCACTTGACCAGGTCACGGAAGGCTCAGGAAGGCTGCCATGGCCTCTTCCTTATGCTCTTTCCCAACAAGCTGGCATTTCAAGACAGTCATTGCAAGGGCTGGGTAGTTGTTTCTCTGACAACATGTAGCTCAACTGTTTCACCTGATCAAGTACTCAACATGCACTCACACCCCTTACAAGTGTCTGACTCCCTCACTCTTTTCCAGGTGATGCAGGTGTCCCAGGTGCACCTGGCATCCCAGGAGCTTCTCGAGGTAAGAGGCTATGCCATCATTACTCTGATATTAAGAAGGAATGCTGATATCCTAGTGGAGGTTTTGAAAAAGCTCTCTTGACTTTTACCAGTGTGGGTGCCAACCTGATGCTGATGGGATTTATGTTCAAAAGCTCTTTTTGCACGGCTTGCCTTAAATCAGAAAATTTAGGAGTTGACAGTTTTCTTTTTCCAGCTTATTGGGAATCCTTTAAGCCAGAGTTTTGCCTCTTTGAACTGGTGCTGCCCAGGCTGGCAGATTGGGAGCAGCAGGGCAGTGATGTTAGACTAATGAGCTTGAGCTGTCTGATCTCCAGCTATATTTTGTACAGCACTGCACTCTAGTGCACAAACCCACCAGGTCTGCCTGTGCAAAGCCAGGAATGTCTCTGGACTCAGCCCTGCACAGACTGAATTATAGGATGCTGAATTAATTGCAGACATTATACTGCCAAATAGCCCATGCTCCATCTGTGTTTAAAGATGCAGGGGAAGCCCCTCCATATTCAATTTCCAAAAGTCTTTCCAGGCCTGTGGGAAGGTTTAATGCAAGTACATTTTACTATCACTTGGTTTAATGCAACTGTGCCAAAACCACTCCTTCTTCTTACAATACTTTCCATAGGTGGATCCAGACAAATTCAGGGACCCCCAGGACCTCCTGGGCCACCTGGTCCTCCTGGCCCAAGTGGAGGTTCATCTCAAGAGATTCAGCAGTATATCACTGACTACCTGAAGAGTGAGTATAATGAGATTTTTGCTGTCGGTCAGCACTTTCATGCTTATCTCTCTTTTGCTCCCTAGGGCCTTGTCCCTTTTCTTCTAGAAACAACAGCCCTGCTACTCTGGGCTTATTTCTGCTGAATACTATGAAGTGCTGTTGTCTACTGTGGCCTCTGTAGAACTGTCCTTCTATTGTCCCATTCTTTGTCAGAGGAAGAGGGTCTGGTAATTGTGCACATAGTCTTCCCTCTTAGTGATGTGGAAATATCTTGGGCTTTCTATGTAGGTGACAACATCAGACATTATTTGACTGGTGCCCAAGGCCCACCAGGCCCTCCAGGCCCACCTGGACTCATCACCACTGCAGATGGGGTGACCTTGGATTATGCAGAGCTGGCTACCCGTGTCATGAGCTATATGACAAGTAAGCACCATGTTGGTAAACTCTGTACTGAGTCTGAATCATGCCCTCAGCTGAGCTTGTGCAGCACCTAGGAGGTGAGAAGTAGAGGAGAAATAAGTCTTTAAAAAGCAGCACCTCAACCAGGTTATTCATCTTCAGCAGTCTAGGCCCAGGACTCTACACAGCTGAGGTAGAGCTGAGCCTTGTCCTTTTTTAATGGTTAGATTAATTAGCAGTTGCTGCTGTTTAAAAAGTCTTATATTAAACATTTGCTGTTAGACTCCTGACACCCCAAAGACCCAAATAGAGGTGGGTTTGTTTAGTAAGTGTGGTCTCAAGTATTTGGGGGTTGTCTTGTGTGCTTGGGGCCCTCCTAAAGTAGATGAAATTCCCAGAGCTTTCGGAAGTAGTTTGGAATCTCAACCAGAAATGCACAGAGCACACAGTTGTGTGTGATGACCAGGAGATGACCAGGATAGGTGAGAGATAGCAGCTGTTTCATAGTTGGGGGCATGGGAAGCCCATTCTACCAGTTAATTAATTTATCTTTCCTTTGTTCCTTCCTCACCCCTCCTCACCTTCTGTCTCATCATTCCCACAGGCTCTTCAAGTCGCTATGAGTCATTTTCTGGCTCAGTATCCACTTCATCCATTTTGTACCAAGAACTTCTGAACCTGCTGCAAAGTAAGTGACCCTCAAGGGAAACATGTGATTGAGGGTAAAGCATCCCATCATCCTGGAGATCTGTCTTTCCCGTCCAGTCTCCAGTCTGCAACTGGAGTTACCTGCAGCTGCTTCAGAGTGTTCTACTTTCCAGCTCCTCCACTCTGAGTGTTCCCCTCATAGCCTTGCTGTGTTGTTGTTCCTAAGGTGAGGGGGATCCCCAACTCTGTATTCTTTTCTATACACAGTGTTACTGTGGGTTGACAGGTAAATCTTCAGGATGTCATTTGGCTGTCCCTGAAGGTACTGATGATGCTGGCCAGCAATGTGCTCCAAATGGCTCAAAAGTGCCACAAAGCTCAGCATGGTCTTTCCCAGCTGAGCTGCTTTTCATTCCCTTTACCCAAGAAGTTGTCTAGAGTGTCCTGAAAAAAGCAGACCACAGGGAAGTCCCTTAAGCAATCCAAATTCTCATCCTCCTCACACCCTTATTATAGGAGGTTCCCAGTCTTGTCACAAATGTTTCTGGCACCATATGCAGGACATTCACTCAGAAAAGAGGGAGGAAAGGAGCTTTATATCATATGTTTGATGGTTTCCCTGGTGGAGGTGGCTCAACTCATGGGCTGGGAACTCCTTACACTTGGTGTCTGTGCAGCAGCTGGACAGCCTTAAAAGATGCTTGTTTTCATTTCTAGGAGAGGAAATTCGTCAGTATCTCATTGGACCTCGGGGCCCACCAGGACCTTCTGGGCCAGGGGGAGATGGAATGTCTCTGTCACTGGATTATGATGAGCTGACCAGGAGGTTTATCAGCTATTTGTCAAGTAATGGTTTTATTAGTTTGTGTTTCCCTCTGTTCCTTTGGGAGCCCAGCACAAAGCTCATGCTGTCAAGTCAGTAGAAACTATTCCAGTGCTAATTGTGTGAATCCCTATGGACAGGGACCTCCTCACAGAGACTGTAAGAGACTTGGAAGAGAACAAAGATACCCTGTAGCTAAGATACCATCCACAGACTATTAATGAATCCTTTCTTTGTTAAAAATTGAGCTTAGGAACAAAATTTCATCTTAGCCGTCTTAGATGATGGCACCTTTAGTGCCTTTCTAACCTTTATCTCTGTGCTAACTTTGTGTCAAGACAGCTTAGACAACAAACTCTTAGAAGTTAATTGAAACAAATTCTATGTCTCTGCTTCATTTTCCCATCTGTGAAGGGGTGATATGGCACATAAGAACTGTTCAACAGAGAGGACTCTTTAAGCATCCCCAGCAGCAGTGCTAAAATGCCTAATTCTGGTAGCTGCAACTGTCTGCTTAAAAGCACAGCCTGGTCCATGCTCGGTTTCTCTGAACTGCTCTTTGAGACCAGATCTCACTGGTGGACTGCTCATAAGATGGAGGGAATTTCCAGCAGGAAACTGCAGTGTAACAGCAGCACTCCAATGGCTCAGGCAGGACCAACTGCATTTTGTCAGCAGGGACATTTCATTAACGCAAATCACGAAGTGCAGAATGTTGCCCCAGAGCAGCACATGCATCAGCCTGTGGGTTGCAGCTGAGCTGCAAGTCCAGGGGTGCCCCTACCAGTCACAGGTTCCTGAGGTGCAGAGCTTTTGCCAGGAATAGAAGCCTGCTGCCTGCCTGCCTGCCTGTGAGTGTCCTTGAGATTGTCAGGGCAAAGTCACAAGTCCAGAACAAGGTTTGAGCTCTGGCTCTTGGCACAGCCTGCTGATGGGAGTCTCTCCTGCATTGCCTATGAATAAGCCCTTTGAATAAGCCCTGTGGTCTGCCTGCTTACACTGTAACAGCCTGCTCTGATAATGTGGATCTGTTTGATTTTGCAGGTTCTGGGATGAGCATTGGACTGCCTGGACCACCTGGGCCTCCAGGGTCACCTGGTATATCCTACAGTGACCTGACAGCATACCTGCGAAGTAAGCCAACTTCTTCACTCCCCTGTAATGGGGTTTTATGTGGCCCCCAGGATCGCTTTTTACAGCCTTAGTCACAGAATTTCCCTTTTTTCCTATCATCACAAATAACCCTCTGATGGTCCTTTGTCCTTAGCAGCACTACAGGCCTCTGCTGGCACCTGCACGCCCCACAGGGGGCTGCAGCTGGATCACCATGCTCCTGCGAGGAGCAACAGCAGTGGGACTGTCTTGGAGATGGGCATGAAGGAGCCCTTTGTCATATCCAAACTCTGCAGCACAAAGGCATCGTTTCTTATACCTCTTTGAAAGTATATTTTAAAAATAGGGACTTTACTCTCTTTGGAATCACCTGACTGTCCAATGTGACATCTACATGCAGGGTAGTGAGGTACACCAATAAGGCTGTACCAGAAGGTATTGGAGGGGAAAAAAAAAACCCTTCTACTTGGCTGTGTCTGGCATAACCTGTATTGTGAAGGAACATTCATTAGGGTTGTGGTTGTTTGTGTGACTTCTTTTCTTCCCTTGTGTCTTACAGACTCTGAATTCAGTGGTGTTGTTGGGCCCCCTGGTCCTGCAGGCCCCCCAGGACCTCCAGGGATCCCTGGATCACCAGGCACCTCTCTGGAGGACATCTCTGCCTACCTTCAAAGTAAAGCACTTGTATTTCTCAGAGCTGGCAGGGTGATTCTGTTTGTAGATGCTGGGGGACTGAGGCTGAGAGATTTAGCTTAGCAGGGATGTGACTGCTCGGTGGGAACAAAGTCACTGTAAAGTAAAGAATTCTGTAAAGAATTTTGTCAGTGTCATCCCTGTAAAGGGATGGAAGTGGAGGTTGGAGCTTTTAAACTTTCAAGATGCCCAGACATGTGAAATTTCCTTATCCTCTCACTGATGGAAAATAATTCTTTCTCTCTCTTAAGATGTTGGATACTCTTCCCTTTCTGGAGTCCGGGGCCCACCTGGCCCTCCTGGCCCTCCAGGACCACCAGGTTTCTCTGGAACTGGCCTTCTGTCCTATGCTGACATTACCAACAGCGACGAGTTCAGGAGTGAGCTGATCCAGTACCTGAAGAGTAAGGGAACACCATCCATCCTTCCTGCACACATCCCAAGACATGCTTTACCTTGTGTGTAAATGGCTCTGCCATAGCTGAGACATTACTGTAGGAGCCTTCCCTGAACTGGGGCTACAGCTACACCTTCCCTCTACAGCCAGGTCTGCAGGAGTGTGCTACACCCTGTAGGCTTTTCTCCTCTCAGCCCAACTGCTAGCCAAAGTCTGTGTTATGAGACAACAGGGACAAGCACTGAGTAGTTACAAATGGCCTGTGCTGAACGTGGGTCCCTAATAAGGTCACCAGCAGAGTTTTACCATGGGAAAAGCATTTTCTTTGGCAAACACCTGCACACAGAGGGGAGGGGTTGGAAGGTGGCGCTGAGCTAGCTGTGAAGCACCAATGGTTGGAGTTCATCCTGACAAGTCATCCAAGGCAGGCTTTGGAAAACACCTCAGTTTTGGCAAACTGGTTACAGAATGGCTCTTTTGGCAGAGGTGCTGAAATTGGCCTGAAGAGTGCACCCTCTGCAAAATCATTGGGCATGTTCCCAAGATTGGGCACACAAAACTGTGGGAGAGATGGCAAGGAGGAGGGTGTCTTGCCATCCGTAGAGTTCAAGGTTGACATGTGCCTGCTGCCTGAGAAGTGGCACTGGAGGGTCACTGTGATGGTTGGGGGGACAGAACTTCACACTCCAGTCTTCATTCAGGTGGCAGCACAGGACCTCTTGTCAAGCCCAGTGTCCCTGAAGCTCCCACCTTGTATTTTGCAGGTGATGAAGTTCGAAGCTACATCTCAGGACCCCCTGGGCCCCCGGGACCACCAGGACCCAAAGGAGACAGTGGCTTTGTGTCTGGGTCTATGTCTTCATCCTACCAAGGGTTACGAGCTTCTGAGCACTTGCATGGAGGATCCCTTGGTGCTGAAGGCTCCCACGGGGGCTCAATGGGCACAGGCAGCTCGTATGGCAGCTCCATGAGCAGCATGTCCTCTTACCACGCCTCAGTGGGCAGCGATGGAGCTTACGATGCCTCCATGGGCACTGATGGGTCTTTTGATGGGCTGCTGACAGAGGAGGAATCACACAGGAGATCAGCAGGGTCGAGCAGATCCTACAGCAACTCCTTCACTGGTTCCCTGGATTACAATGAGCTGGCACTCCGTGTGTCAGAGAGCCTGCAGAGTGAGTGCAATGCGTGCTTATCCTGACCTTCCCTATTCCAGCTTACAACTCCAAACCTCCTGTGCCTGCTCACACTGTTCACTTCCCTCTCCTTCCTGTTGCTTACAGCTCTCCCTTCCACCTGCTGCCTCAGCATCCAGCCACAGTTCTCCCAGTGCTCCTTTCAAATGACATCTTTAATTCCGCAGGCCGAGGTATTCTCCAGGACCTGATGTCTTACACTGCACAGGGACCTGCAGGTCCCCCAGGCCCTCCTGGTCCCCCTGGCATCAGCAAGATCTTTGCAACCTATGGCAATGTCACCGCAGACCTCATGGACTTCTTTAGAAGTGAGTGACATTTTGACTTGGCATTTCTGACTCACGTATATTAGATCTTCCCAACCTCTCACAGACCTACTGATCTTGTCATCTTTGCACTCTGTCAAAGTGCAGAGTTGAAGGTGGATGGTCTTTCCATCTCCTTCCTTCCTTGCTGGGGAGGTGTAGTCTTATCATTAGGAAGGACATCAGTTTTTCCCACTGTTTGTAGGAAACTCATCCCAAACCCTGAAGGCCTCTGTGCTTACAAGCTCTGTGGCCCATTTTTACATGACTGGGCTGGCACATATACAGAAACATGAGCCAGCTGCTCACTCTGCTCTTAGATTCCCCACTCAGAGCATGGGCCAGCTCCAGCCCTAGCGACAGCCAGGATACCTAGAGAGAGTGACAGGACAGAGCAGTGCTGCTGAGATGACATCACAGCCTGTTCTTGGGACTTTGTTAGGACCAAAACCCTGTTTAAAAACCTTGCTGTCAGTCTAATCCTATCTAACCAAGAGAAATGTCCTTTCAGTGTGAATCACAGCTTCTCTGAGTGGTTGGTGGTTTCTCCCACTCATTCACTCTTTCCTTCATTTCCCTCTCCAGCACATGGTGCCATCCAGGGGCCACCCGGTGAAAAGGGGGAGAGGGGTTATCGTGGACCTAAAGGTAAGGCTTGTCATCGATTCTCTCTTCAGCCTTGTGATGCCCAGGAAGCAGCACTGTGACTACAGAGGTCACAGCACTGCTCAAGTTCACACCCTCTGGCAGTGAAGGTGACACCTTCAGGATCTCAGCCAAAACATTGTCCTGATTTGGTGTCCCTTCCCCTGGCCTGTCCCTGTCTGTGGGTCACTTGTGCTCAAGGGCAAACTTGGTCTTTTCATTCCTTCAGGTGACCCTGGGCCCATGGGCCCACCAGGACGACAGGGGCACAGGGGACCTAAAGGAGAGAAGGGAGAGAAAGGTAGGAACACATGCCATCCCCAGGAGAGCAGGATTTGACTGTCAGGGATTGGCACTAGCCCATCCCTGGGAAGAGCTGGAAAACAGAGCCCCAGTATTTTGGTTTGGATCTTTTCTGTTTCCACGGTCTTTTCAACTAACCCTCCTTTTGGTTTTTCTGGTCCCCAGGCGAACAGCTGTATGTTGGCAGAAGAAAAAGAAGAAGTGTTGGTGTTTAAGGAAAGTGGTAGCTCAGTTCTGCACAGGGCAGCATCCCCAGCAGCCTATAGAGAATTAGCCTGATGCCTTAATGCTGAAACATCCTCACTGCTCAGCTGACCCCTTAGAGTTGATAGTTCAGATCTTAATGTCTCTTGTGTGTCCAGCATGGTCCTAGTGTGGGTGTTTGCTCCTGTTACTGATGTTTGGCTTCATGCTCCTGAGTTCCCAGGCTGATGTCCTTGGGCTGACAAGAGCTTCCTATCTCACCTAGTCCAGGCTTCTTGTACTACTCCCAGGAATGTAAAAACCTGCGTTTTTAAACAACTAGCCAACTACACAAAGAAAAGAAAAAAGAAAACAATCCCATCCTCAGCAAATGCATGGTTTGTCAGGGATCAGATGAGCCCACAAGGCCCCCATGAGAAATTCCCCTCCGGGATTCCCTCTCCACAAGCTCTGCCAACCCAGTTATAGCAGCACAGCGAGACAGGACATACATAGGGGCCGAACCAAAGCACTTTTAAACGTAATTTGTTTAGCTTTTAAAAATATTTTTTGTATTTTTTTCTGTTTTTTTAAACACTGGTGAAAAATAATCTTTAATGTAAACAGCCCAATTAAAGTGTGTTTTTAACCCCATCCCTGAACTGTTCAGGATGGCCATTCTGTGCTTGCAGGTTGTTGTGGGGCAGGATGAGGCACCTGAGATGGGTCTGAGGTACAATGGTAAATACAATGGCACATTATTAAATACTTTTATACTCAGTTATTTTAAACATTGTAAACCATCCCCCTCACTCAAACGCTTGTACAAATCACTTGTATTTCATGCAGATTTTCCATCAACCAAACTGAGGCGGTCTCAGCAAACTGTGATTTTATTTTATTTACAGCAGAATTATTACAATATTCTACAGAAAGCCATGAAATAAAATTACTTTGAAAAACAAGACAAAAAAAACCCCAAAACTGTTGTATGGCTGCTACTGCAAGTTCACTTCCACGAGCTGTACAGAGACCCTTAGCCAATTATTCATCCATCTCATGATTTTTGGTTGCTTACAGAAGTAAGGCAAAAATAACTTGGTTTGCAGTTAACACAAAACATTCAACAAACTGCTGGGAGAACACGAGGCTGGCGGTGCCTCAGGCGCGTGTTTGTCACAGGATGCTCCTGCTCTGCTTGGCTTCCTGACAGAAAGTGGGGTGGCAGTTCAACATTAGATGCCACTCGGTGTCCCTTCCTAGAGTCTGTTCTCTTTACCATTTTAGAACTGATTCTCATTCCCACCTAATTGTAAATGTGGAAGACTTGGTTAAATCAGGGTAGCCCCGGACTCAGCCCCTCGCTTCTGCTTTCAGTACAGGGGAAGCACATGAGCCCTTTCTCATGGGTTGGGCTTAAGCATGGTTGTGCTTGAGGGGTTTTCCTCTGGCACCACCGACTGCCCAAATGCCAGATGTGCAAAGGAACTACAGAAACAGGACTGAGCTGGAGAAAGGGGATGCAGAACAAGTAAAAGTTCTGTAAAAGAACACCATCGTTTCCTGTCTTCTCCTTCCCTTTATCTGTTCTCATCTTTCACAAGACTGAGAAATGATGGGGCATCCTGGCCTTGGCTTGCCTGTGAACAAGGAAGGTTAATTCTCTCTAATCTTACTTTAATTGCTGTGAAGATAGCAGAAGTAGTCTGGAAATGGGAAATTTGCACGGACACATCAATGCAAGGAAGTTTCAGAGATCCAGAAGTACAGATTTTGACGTAAAATGACCAGAGTGTAAATGTTAACGTAAAGCTTATCGACACAGTGATGGTCCTAAACACTCCCCCTGCCCTTTCTTCCAACAGTCAGTCACTGTCCTCAAACTTGCCCCTCTTCCCCGCAGCAGATGAACGAAGAAGCAATAGATCAGTGGAAGCAACTAGCACTGAGCTTATTTGTACATTTCAGCTTTCAGCAACGATGTATTTCTGAGGTCATGGGAGCTGCAGCTGCACAACAGCTCTGAAAATCAGGCTGCCTCGAAGTGGACTCAAGTGCCTGAATTTAAAACACCTTATTTGAATCTTTCCTATAGCAAAGCAAGCTTGAAATACTTGCAAGGCAGATACTATTTCAGTTGGAGAATCAAACTTCCTATGTGACACTGCTGTCACAAAAGATATGGTGTGACAGAAGCAATTCCATTGCTACTTTGCTTAGCTCTGCCTTAAAGTACTATGTTTCCAATTTTTAAGGAAAATAATTTCAGTAGAATGGAGTTATCAAAGTCCTCTGGGACAGAAGAAAAATTTCTTTAATTGTGTGATTGATTAGATATTGAGTACCCATGAATGCAATTTAAAAAGAATATTAGCTTAAAAGATTACCTGGAAAAGGATGCAGCTCAGACTGAACATCAGTTTTAAATGTGATGTGAAAAATCCCTCTGAGTGAATGCTGATGGCCAGAACAGTGCAGCCCTGCCACCAAGGAATTTGAATTCAGCTGCCAATTCAAATAAAGGTTTTCCTTCAGAAGGTGTTTATAAATCAGGACCTACATAATCATAACAACTTCAGTATCATATCTTTACATGCTGTATATAGTTCTCATATATACACCAGAGACAGCGGAGTGTTTGAAGAAGGAAAAATTATTTTATGGGAATCAGAGAGGAACAAATGCTGGAGTATTTCTTCTTCATAAAATAAACAGCAAAGTTCCCCTGGAACTTCAGAAGATCAAGGGCTGGCACAGCCCATTTTCCCCTGAGTTGGTAATCCCTCCTCAGCCAGAATCTCCTAAAAACAGGGGCAACAGATACACCCAAAGACCTTTAGCCCCATATCTCCCTGGATGCCTTAAGCAATGCCAGAATGCACTTTTCAGAGCTCAGGAAGCACGTGGTGTGTGGCTCAGGCCCTGCAGGCAGGTTTTCTGTGAGGATCAGCTGTAAACACAGGAGGACAACCCACACACGGCACTGCAATCCAGAGATTTATTGCCTTGCTTGTTTTCTGTGGACAGAATTTACAATGTAGTAAAACACAATGGTGAGCAAATACTGATTTGTGGTCAGCTTTGGAAGAGCATGTGGGGACAATCAGATCTGCCAAACAGTAAGAATTTGTAAGTACATTGTTTTAGCTGCAGAAAACACAACTCACCACCCTGGAGATGGAGCTGCTAACATTCATTAGGAAGGTGACATGAGATAGTACTGAGATGGAATTTCATATCTCAGGAGATGTGTTTTAGGCCTATGTGAGACTAAATTAATTTGAATTGAATTTTCTGACTCTGATACAATATTGTAACACCAGTCTCACATACTGCAACACTTAAACCCAATTTTATCAGTCTAGATGTGTAAGCACCCATGCTAGTTCTTGTTATCCCTCAGCAAGCATATTTTCATGTTTGGTATCAATTCTCAGCCCAGTTCACAAGGCTGCAAGTGCACAGGGCTCTCCACCTGGAGACCTGAGCAAGGCTTCCATTGCCACATCCGATCCCTCCCTTCATCCCAGAGCTCAGTTACAGTTATTTGTGCAATTTACAATGAGATCAGATTGCAGGGCCTGTGTGAAAAGGATCTTCAAATAAAAGATGTAAGAGATTCAGACAGAGGTAAACAGAATGCCAAAACATATTAGCAATGTATCACTGAAACTACCATAAAGGAGAAGATTATTAATATTTCCCTGTGAGGATTTAATGGGGATGAACGTAGACATAATCCAGAAGAGGAAATCTGCCTGCCCTGCTTACTCCCCCAGGTAAAGTACTGAGCCTACTTCAGACGAAATTGCAAACAAATTCTGTTAAATAGAGATGAAGATTATTTAATATTATCTTAATAACAGTCAATTTATGAAGGTGGAGTTTAAAAAGCAAAAGGTCTTCAAAGATTTTTTTCTCTCTACTAAACAATTCAAAAAACTTTGCATTTAGCAACAGAGAACATTCTAGAGATATGGTGTGTGAATTTACAACAGTATACAATACACATTTCAAATAATAAAACACCAGAAATTAAGGCTAGCTATTAAAGTAATTATGCTATCAAAAAGTTACAAAATTTAAATTAAAACATGCATTTTCCAATTTTCTTTTTACTGTGCTGTAAATTAAGTGTCTTCATTGAGAAGGTATTGGTTCAATATCCAAGGATTTCAGCATCCAAGGTTTCAACCACAGCTGATTAAAGTCCTATGTTAATTTCTGAGTTCACTGCCATGCAGCAACACTGTTCCCATGAAATGAACGCCATGGAATGGGCACCAGTTGCACAGTCAAAGCAAGCAAGCAAAACAAAACAGGTGCAGTTGATGCCCAAAGAGATCAGAGAAAGTCAGCCCTCAAAAGACAGAAAGCAAATACTATTTTACAAACAGAGCTCCAACATACCCAAGTACAGCTTATACACTGTCTTGATATGACTCAACCTCTATCCACCAAAAGGAGTGCAGCAAAAGTGACCTAATACAGCTGTATTTCCTTACCCTGCTACAGGAGACACATTTCAGATTTCCCACTACAGATCAGTCAGGCAAATAACTTATGGTACAGCTAGGAACTCGAAAAATAAAACCTGCCTATGTTAGTAGGTGGCAACACAAAAGCAAAACACCCAGCTATATATTTAACTTAAATCTTTCCTTAAAATAAAATGACTGAAAAAAAAAAAAAAAAAGGAATCTGACACTTCTAGTGAAATCAGACTTTAGCCATGGTTACTTATAAATATGACCATCCACCTCCACTTCTGTGATGGAGTTCAAATGAACAGGCTTTGGTAAGAACAGAACAATGGCTCTACCCATTCCAGGTACAGTTAGAGAAACCATGTGCATTTTGCACACTGCTTTCTAAAAAATACATTCTACAGTTTTTCAATTTGTAGAACTAACCACCTGTATGTAATAGCTAAAGAAAATAATAAACTGCATTTTAAAGTTAGCATATCTTTCACCTTTACATATTTTAGTGCAAAATATTTTAGGGTGAGGATTTACAACAAAAATGGCAGTAGCAGCAAGAAATCTTGTTTTGTACAGTAACAACAACGCTAAGGAGTTTTGTGTTTTTAAATGACAAAACAGTATCCTGTTGCCAGGATCAGCATATCTAAGTGTTTCAGGCACTGTATTAATTAAACTAGCACCCCATTTCATTATGGAACTAATGGACAAAACATGTCATGGAGATCAGCTCAGTTTAATTTATGCCAGAGGTTTCTTTTGAAAGAAGTTGCAAAAGCTTTTGCTTTTGTCAATTGTGTTTAAACATAAGGGTTTGCTTTTCTGATTACTGGCATGTTCTTAGTAATTAGTTTCAGTCCTTGCCATGAAGACACTGCTCACATTATGAAATTTTAAACCTCTCATGGCAGTTTCAGTTGTGGAATTCTCTCGTGGAGAAATCTGATGCTTAAAAACACAGTAGCAGAACTAATATTACACCATTTAAATGTTCAGATGAGAAACCATTTTTTTGTGATGAGAAAGAGCATAATTAATATTTCAGGCTTAAAGTCAAAACCGTGGGTAACGTACTTTTAGAGACTGGGATAAAAAACCCACTTAGTTTTGAAACATCTGAAGGACATAACAATACCATTGTACACCAACACTCGGTTTGTTTCTTCTGTCCAGGGGAGTGAAGAAACCGCTCCTGACACTGATTGTCTCCACTGAAAACAAGACACGCGAGGTCCCTGATGTTCATACGCCGTGGGTAAGTCAGCTTAGACCGTAAGGAGGGAGAATTCCAAACACGAAAAAAACCTACAGAAGTTCCCAGAGCTACGACCCAGTGGAGTGAAGGCTGGGGATTGGGTAGAATTTGGAAATCCGGCTTTGTGTTGAAGGATTAAGGCATTCGGATTCTCCAGTCATTTTAAAGAAAACTTCCTGTTCCTGCAGCTTTCTGGCAAATTCTTCTTCCAGCATCTAAAACCAAAATCAGATTGCCACAGGATTAACACGGCAAAGTACAAGAAACCCATTATTACGGAGACATTTTGTCTGATCTCTGAACTGTGTGAAACTCTAGTACATTCCCTTTTAAAATAAAATAAACCCCCAAGACCAACCTCCACCACCAGCTATATGTCTGCTATCACTCAGTTTTTGTAGTAACCTACTGGCTTCTGAAATAAATTCCTAATCCCAGACTTACCTCCAGCTAAGTTTTCCATGCAAACATGCACACGTGCTGCAGGTGGGAGCCCTGCAAAGAGCCCGGTAACACCCAACCTGTTCTGGTGCACCTGCCCTTTGCTCAGCTTATGCAATTTCTGAACATTTTTATTCTACAGTGAACTGCAACAGCTTTGTACAGCAGCTTGACTCTCCTCCTCTGCAATACTTTCGTACTGTCTGCATTTTCTAGATCAAACCCTTGATAATTTCCTGATTCATGAACTGCTCCAATTTACCTTTTTTCTTGGTCTCAGTTTCTCTCTCCATTCCTTCAGTTCTTGGCTGTGCTCTTCATCCAGCTCTTTTAGCTTCTGAGTCTCATGCTCAACCAGTAGATGGCATTTTTCGTTCTTAAAACAAGATAATCCTTATGTAAAACTAATTCAGATTAGGCAACTCAACATTTGTACAGTGACATATGTTGTCCTAATTCTTTCTAATTAGCTTATTCCGTGTAAATAGTGACGTGAATAATTACAAGATGAAAGTATGTTACAAGGCTGCATTTTCAAAAGCTGATCTTTCCATCGGAGCCAACTGAGATAAGAAACACTCGTAAATCCAAATACACTGCTGAGCATCATTAAGGCAGCTGCTGAGAGTGTTACTCAAAACTGTGTTTCACTGCCTAATGATGCTTTTCAAGGTCACACAGCATTTCTGCTTTACTTTTTAAAGACAGTCTGTATAATTTATTAAAAACAATTACATTAAAAAGGAAGCTGTTTTTTGGAACTATTTCAACCCTTGGTGCCAAGAGCTGAGAAAAACAAATGGAGCTTAGAAAAAAGACAAACGTGGTTGCAGAAGCAGCCTCAGAATTGCCCTATGCAAAGGCTCAAACCACCCCTCAGCATCACATTTCCTTCAGAAAGGTACCTGGGCACCTGCCTCACTTTCAGAGGACTTTTGAAGCATGACAAGAAAAAAAAATCAATTATTTGGCTTCAAGTCTCTGTACTTTTTTAGGAGTAGTTGGCAATAATGATACTTCTAGGGTTCCAGTCCCAAATGGGTCTGATGCAGAGTACAGAACCACAGCAACACAAACAACAAGCACTTGGCTAGACCTGAGTGCAGCAAGGGGCCAGTTTTCCTTGTGAAGCTCAGAGCAGCCCTAATCTGCTCAATTTTACTGGGCTGAAACTCTCACAAGGCTCCCACGGTACTTGAGGATTTACTGGGGCATATTAGTGGCACAGCCACAGTCTGTTTTTGCAGGATATAAGAAAGTGAATAAAGCAGAATGAACTTCATTGGTCATTGCACGATTTCTCTAAGCAAAGGTTATCAGCAGGTGATTATTTAATGCTTTAAAACTGCCTTATATCCCTGAAACTGGGAAAAGCTGATTTAACAGAAAAGGAGATCTGGCCTCTGGTATCCAGCAAATGCATACCAAAAGAGACAAATCAGAGCTCCTTATCACAGGAAGAGAATTCCTTCTAAGTACCTTCCAGAAGCTCACAAGCAAGTGGCAGACTTGGTAAAAAACCTCTTCATACCTGTATTGCTGCAAACTTCTCATGAGTAATGTCTGGTGCTGCCTACCTCTGTTCTGATTAATGACATTCCAGCAAAATCAGGTGAAAAGGAAATGCTGCCTACAGAAAATAGCCCTGGGAACTTGACAGATACTCCAGAAGTGATCATTGGCTTCTGGTTCGTGCTCTTCTTGCATTTAAAATTATTCCTCATTAATTGATGGGAACATATGAATCTGGCAAAGCACTTCCCTGCAGGCCTTTGAAACAAAGTTGAAGAAACTCTGTACAGTAAAAATTAAGGAAAAGATGTTTCTGCTTTGCCTGCATCTGGTATTAACCTAAGTCTTCTCACTGAATGGTCATTTAATATCATCTATTTTTAACCTGTAACTGATGCAGCTCCCTGATGTTTGCTTCACACTGCAGCTGAAGGTCCCGCATTTGGTTTTCGTGTTTCTGATGCTGCGCCAGTCTCTCATTCTTCTGTCTCTTTTCTTCTTGAACAGCAAACTAAAATTAAAAGTAAGAGATTATTTAAACTGTGCCTCTGAATAAAACAGTTTGCATGAGTCAAAGAATTGCATCTGAGAAGATGCATACTGAGAAGAAGGGTTCTAGAAGATTTAAGCAATAATTTTCTATTTTTTTTCTTTTTTAAATTCTTACAAAGGAAATGCCCTACAGTTTTAATTCCATTTCTCTGCCTGCACTCTGATTTTTCCTTAAAATGCAGCAGACTCCTGAAATCACCTCCCACTGAAGCTGTGACACAGCAATGCAGCTGCAAGCATTGGTTAAGGCTGGTGTTAAACAGCCTTTGTATTTTCCACATTCTTCATCCTCCCAGTGCTCACCATATGAAACCATGATTTATGAATGTGGTGTATCATTAGAAAGCAAACCTCTCAACCTCTGCACAGAATTCCCTTTAAAAGAATGAGTGAATACCTACAGCTTTAGTTCAAAAGCTCACAAAAATCAAGCATCCTTAAAAATGTTTCACAGAATCACAGAACAGTTGAGGCTGGAAGGGACCTGCAAAGATGAACCTCCCTACTCAAAGCAGGGTCACCAGGAGGACGCTGTGCAGGACTGTGTCCTCTTGGGTTCTGAGCATCTCTACAAGCTCTCCGGGCAACCTGATCTAGTGTTTGACCATCTTCACACTAAAAAAAATGTTTTCTCATATTGAAGTTGGATTTTCTGCATTTCAGTTGTGGCTGCTGCCTCTCACGCTGTCACTGGGCACCACTGGGAAGAGTCTGGCTCCACCTTCTTTGCTTCCTCTATTGGGTACTTATACACATGGATGAGACCTTCCTGAGCCTATTCTCCTCCAGGCTGAAGCATCCCAGGTAGCCCAGGTGGCTCCTTGTGTAAGAAGACACTTGAGTCTCTCAGCCATCTTCAAGGCCCTTTGCACGACTCACTCCAATAAATCCGTGTCTGACTTGTACTGGGACGTGCAGGACTGGAGCCAGCACTTCAGGAGTCTCACAGAGCAGCAGGGAAGGATGATTTCCTCTGACCCCATCCACTGCATCAACCCACTTTGGTATCGTCTGAGAACTTGTGAGAGTGCACTCTTTTCTATCCTCACATTTATGTCACATTCAGCATTTACACTATTAAAACTATTAAATATTAATTTATTACCTGCTTAATTTTTTCACGATCTTGGTCTGGAGAAGCAAATGAATTGATTCTTAAACTTTTCTTAAACATGGCCATCCGAGTCTTTGCTTCACTTCGTTGGATTTTAGGCAGTCTGGCTCTTTCCTGAGTTTGCTTGTTCTTTAACTCCTCTATAAGGCGTTGATTATACCTCTGCATTTGTTCTGTTTCCTGAAATGTTAATTAACCACGTGGAAATGTTACACAGTAACTGTGATGTTATACAGTATGCATCTCTTTTCATCAATGAGCCCCCCGTGTCAGTCAGTGCCTCTCAGCAGAAACCAGTCCCAGGAGTAACAGTGGGGAGGAGGGGCTTCTTCCAGAGAGCCTTGAATCTTGCACAACCCGAAGAAAATTCTCTAATAAATGTAAATATACATATATTTTACCAGCACTTACTCAGCTCTGCACAGCCTTTTACAAAGCCTGTTACTCAAAAGGAGAAACTCCTTTTCGTGTAACTGAACTTCTGGGCTACAGCTGTGGAGGAGCAGTTTGCTGCAAAAGCTGGGGAAAGCAATAGCTCACATGGGATAAAGCAGAGTGGGCAGAACAAGCCTTCAGTGGAAGCTGCTTATGCTCTGATCACCAAGAGATCCTCAAACACCTCCCTATGGGTTTTCATTTTCAGAAATTGAACTATTAGTTTTCATGTATTCTATAAAAACCAAAATGCCTCGTGCAAAGGAAGGTTTCAGCTATAATGAGACAGTTGTCAACTACTTGCCCAGAAGCTAATCCAGTTCATTCAGCTCATTTAATCCTAGGATTATTTACTTCTGAACAGATTTGTTTAAACACAAATCAGAATTGGTTTTGGGGGTAAGCAGAATTGGGTATTTTTTATAGTAAAAGATTGATGTTGTGGTTGGTTGGTGGGTTTTTTTAAGAGAATCAAAAGGGAAAATGTCAATATTTATACTTCTGTATACTACTAAAGTATTCAAGTAAGATAAGTAAGATTTTTAAAATTTCAACAGAACACATAACAGCTTCAAAATACTTGTCTGGATCTTGCCTGTGCAAACAAACAGCACCAGGAGAGATCCTAAGACTACTTGATTAAAAAAATGAGTATTATAATACACAGGAGAAAGTGCCAAAGTAAACACTAACTTTTTCATGCCTCTTAAGCAGCTGGTGCCTCTGCATGAAGTACTGATCCTTGAGCTGCTGCTTGAGGAGCTGGTGTTTCTCCTGTAGGTGCCGCTCCTCCAGCTCCCAGAATGCAGCTTCACGAGCTGGGAAAGAGAGGAAGGGTGGTTCAGGAACTGCAACCCCATCCCATACTCCCCAACCTCCTGGTACATGTTTGGAAGTGACCTATAAGTGCATTTTAAAAACAATGCTGTATCATAGCAGATGTTTTTATTACAGTTCTGGATTAGTTGAGAAGGTTTTTGACTTCATAAAGTGAAGAGAGACCATTGTTTTACTAAAACACCAGTGCCTATTTTGAAGAGAGAGCCTGGTACTGGATACCTCTCATGAGCTGCTGTTTGTTGTTGAGGCAATCTCGTTCAATAGTGGCCAGTTCCGTCTTCTGCTGCTGAATTATTTTCTTCAGAGATGCATCCAGCTCTTGTTGCTGTTTCTGCACAAACTCCTGCTCCTGGTAAAAACCAATAGAAGTAAATTAAATTGGGTTCTTTTAACCACATTACATGCTAATGAAACTCCCAGTTCTCTCAGCATTAGCTATATATGAAAACAAATACATCTATGGAAGTTTGAGCTATCAAATTATCCATCTTTTGTATTTTCTATGTACAGAGTTGGCAAGAGTATATTCGTGTTTAAGTAATACCTTCAGAAATAAGACCAAAGGTAATAATCTAGCCAGCCATCTGCAACTCATTCCATCTCTTGTCTCTCCTCAGAACAAGTTGCAGGTTCAGAGTTAGCCAAGACAATACTCAATCTAAAGTTGATCTCGTTCTAAAAAGGGTTAATTATTCATGTATGTAGGAAAATGAAGGTATGTATGGTTATTCTGCTTTGGCTGATTAGTTAAAGCCTATTTATTTATTTACACAGTTGGGTTTCAGATCTGTGTGGTTTATCTAGTCCTTAGGGCAGGGCTGTTGAGCCTGGGAGTTCTGCATGACCACTGTGCAAACACCCCATGGTTCTGCACGGCCATAACCTGCTCACACCCGAGCTGAGCTGGCTCCTCACAAAGGGATTTATCACCTGCATCTTCCCATTATCCAGGTGTATCATTGTTACATCCCTTCATGAAAAGCAGGCAGCATTGAGTCCCCCTCCCATGCCCCAAGACCAACTGCTGCCTTTCTTCTTTTCAACTATTAAAAACCACAGCTATGAGCATGCAAGCATGCACACACACATAGACACTCTCACACCTGCCTTAAGAACGAGAAATTGAATCAGATGCTTCTAGCACGATATCAAAGGTCGAAAGAAAGGACAATGGCAGGGTCTTGTCAGCGTAAAGGTGGGCTGCTGAAGTCCATAACAAATGGAATTAAATGTTCACTAAAAGTACTTTTTATTATGACCAGAAGAATCCTGGTTTTCATCTTCACAGAAAGTTATTAATAGATGAAGCTTCCATGTCTCTTAGTGGACAGCAGTTACACTGAGACAGGTAACATAAAACCAGAGGTGAATTAAGCTGACAGTGATAGACCTGAGGGTACAAAAAGAACTGGAAGGTGATGTCTGTAAATTAAGTCAGACATACCTAACCGAATTTATAGAGTGACAAAAAAATACTGATTTTTCCCTTTATACCTGAAAAGGATAAAAATACTACTACAAGTTTAATATTCTGAAGGTGCAAACACATAATTAACAGAGTGTTTAATTTTCTGAGAGATTTTAATTTGGAGGGAGTGGAGGAAAGCTGCTCTAGTGTAGTCATGGTAAAAGAGTGATTATGCTTGAGCTTTACACATTTAATTATTTAAATATCATTGCTGCTCTCTCTACAGAGTAACTCTTATGAAGTTTTATACCTGCTGGTGCCATAAGATAAACCAGGCAATCTCAAGAAACACACTGGCCTTTCCATTTCTCACATCTACTCAAGCATCACATAAAAGAAATGTCACCGACTTTACTAAAGAATGTGTTGGGTGGTTAAAAGGCAGATAGTGCAAGGCAGTCAACCTTTTTCAAAGTACCACTTGGTTATGCCCAATAACTATCTTAAAATAAACTCAAATATCTTTAAAAAACATGGTTTCACTGCACACAAAGCATACAAGTCACACAACGTTCCTCACATGTGCTGAACAAGTATCATTTTGCATGTGTGAACCCTCAGTGTCTTGCTCAGACTGAGTAACTACTGTCTTTTGGAACTTTTGACTATGGATAGTGCCCAATTACCTAAACTGGTGCTAACCACTTTGGAGACAGCAGTAACATTGATCAGCACATATGAACAGAAGGAGAAGAGAAAACACACATCTGGAAACTTAGGAAGATAAACTTTCACTGTGTTGCATTTTAAGACTTACATCCTGCATTTGTGCGTTGAAAAGTGTACATGAAGACAACTGAAAAGACTGAATCATAACCTGAGCAACACCCTGTGGGACACAATGTAATTCTGTGTCATAATATATTGAAATGCATTTCTATTCTTAAAAAAAGGAAGAAATGAGATCTGCTGTAGGTTAGTAATAAACATTTGAAATGTCAAGGCTAATCACACAAGTAGATGCTGATGAAAGTTCTAGATATTCTAAAACTGAAACAACTGCATCTTGCTTAGTACTTATTCCAAGTAAGAATATTTCACATTTAAAATCTTCTTTCACCTCTTTGACAAATTGAAACTAGCAAAAGAAATTAACCGTGTCACTACAAACACTATGAAAAGTTACATTCTTGTTTCCTTAAAAAGCTTAGAGATGGGTATCTTTAGCATGGGGAAAGTGCTGCAACTCAATCACCTTCTATCCTGGGAAATCCCCTCTTAAATTAAACACATAATCGAATAAAGTTGCTATTATTTTCTACTAGGTCACTCACATAAACATTTAATCTTTAAGTTACTTGATCCAAACCCACTCTTGCTGTGATTCAAACTCTCTCTGTACAAGCTGTGGCCATCACAAAGCCAGTATTTTTCTAAAATACTAGCCCTCTTTTTAGGTGGGTCATAGAAAAGCACTAAATCTGAAGGCATGAAATCACAGATGATGTTTTGTAAAGTTTCCATACACCTACACTTTGACATTTAAATAACATTTTTCTTAATCTGTTCTGCTCCTATAAACAAGATGTCTCGTGCTTACATATTAGATACATTTTCCTCCTCTGCACTTGTGTAGTTCAAAACTTCCTCCTGACTATAACCTTTAAAATTTGAAGGACCCATGGAGTACTTACCACTCGTAAAAGCACTGTAAATAAACTTGTTGTAGAATAGTACCATTCTTTTTCAGCAGAGCACACAAAATCCTACACTTGACAGTACAAACCTGGCAACCGCTGCACCTACATTTCTACCCAGTTAGGTCTAAGATGTGACATGGGAGTACTTGAAGAAAGAGAGCAGTCTGTAGGGTTAGTTTGAGTTAAGTTCCATATACACTCAACAACAAGAAGTGAAATCATCAAGCTGTGTGAATATTGCTGCCTTTTGTATTTTAGTAGCTTGAAGCTGCCATTGTTACCTGAGCATGCTGGCTTTGTGCAAGCTCCTCTTTCTTGCGTTTCATGAGCTCTTTTCTCAGCTCTTTTGGTGCTTTCTCCACTTCACATAAAACCTACATACAAGCATGCAGAAGGTGGCAAAAAGAACACTTTGTCTCCACAGCAAGCACTACTGTGAACATAGGGACATGCAGGGCAAGCACTAGAGGTAGTGGGAAGCATGCATTACTTCAGTGGCAGAGATGTTAGTTTACTGAAAGAGCTTAATGAAAAGAAAAAGAACAATAGGTGCTTTATGCATGCCAGCAATACAGAGAGGAGGGATGTGCCAGTGCTTTTTGCATGCAAATGCTGCCCAGTGCCCTCAGAAATGGCAGTGCTTCCATTGTGCTTCTATGCAGCTGCCAGGAGAGTCAATAGTTAAGAAAACTACCACCTGCAAAAGTGGTATTTTCTTGAATCACTATGGCAAAAGGACTACAGACTATGTTACCTCACATAAAGCTGTGAAAAATTGTTGGAAGCTTAAAATAACTTCCATTGAAAACCAGCTATTTCTGACACTGTCTCTAACCTGAATTTACAAGATGCCATTATTAGTGTCTCTGACCATAAATGACATCTACGCAGCTTATGTCTTCAAAATAATCATACAAGCAAACAAAATATTATTTGGTTTTAAGTGTTTGGTTCCGAAGAATTTAAAGCAAAAGCCACCAATAAATAAGAGTGTGTTCAAGAAACTTGTCATGACACGTACGCTGGGATGGAACGTGTTTCAGTACATGGTGAATTAGACAAGATTAGCAGAAAGATTCTAAATATAACCTGGCTAAATCGACTGACTATTAATCTGTTAATTTGCTGATGAGTTTTGTTTTTCAGAATTACAAAAATGTAGCATTGTACACTCCAATAAAACATGGATAGTTTTAGAGCAGCAGCTGCATTTTCCTTCAAACTGTACATGGCCTTTTTAGTTTTCAACACAAAACTATGCACCCAGAGACAAATGCCTGTTTGTTTAATAGTGGAAGCATCATCAGAAAACAGAGTCCAAATCACCACATGCTATTCCTATGTCCATGAAAGAACTGCTTTTAGCTAAGAGCAATACGTAAAATTCTCCCCATTTCCCACTGTAGGACCCAATCACCAGTGAACAGAGAGAGACTCAAAATGCAAGAAGTACCGCAAAAGAAGAAAAATTGTTATTTACATATCAGCATACAGTTCAAACTGAATACAACTTATTTTTCAATGCACTTTTGTGCTACAGGATCATTGTATGCAAAAGCATTGACAGTTCAGCTTTCTAAAGAAATCTGAGTCTAGTAAATATTATAACTAACTCTAGAGCCGTTTATATACAAATGGGCACAACAAAGTTGAACCAAAAATGAAATAAAACAGCTTTTAAGATGCAAAATCCATATGGAAACATATCACCTTTTCTTAATCCAATGCAACTAAATTAATTGCACAAGTTGTCAGTCATTTTGCCTTAACTGTATGACATTTACAAAATTAACTGTAAAAGATTTTAGGTTATTCGGACTTCTCTCTCCTGGCTTTCCTTTTTGAGATAACAAACCAAATCCATATTACTGCTATCATTTCATATAGAGAAATTCTAAACAATTACAGCACACATTCAATAAAAAAATCTAACAAATTAACAAAAATGAAACAGATCTGAAATTACTGTCTTCGAAATTCTAATTTGTTAAGTATTTACTAAGTAACTATAGCTGGGGTTTTTTAAAGCAGAAATCTCAAATATTTTTCATAATCTTTATGAAAATACTTTTTCTTGATTTAGTATTTGAGAGAAAATCTTTTATTAAATATTCTGTGAAAAATAAAACCTTCTAACTTGATGATGCTTTCTAGATTAAGTCAATACCTCAAGCTTCCTGTCATCTGTTTGTATTTCACTGTAGGCAGTCAAACAAAAAAACCAATTCTAACTGGTAGTGACACTTCCAGACCTCAGTACAGCACAGGCTTGACAAGGCTTCTGGGAGACCTAATCTCAACTGTTTGCTATGCCCATACTTCTTATTTTCCATATTACCATCATCTCTTACCTCTTTTTTTTTGTTTTTCAGCACATTCTGGAATTTGGACAACTCCTTCTCCTGCTCAGCCTTGATGCGCTTTGCCTCATCCCGTAAGCGGTTCGTGTGCTCCTGCTCCAGGCGCTCGATCGTCTGCTTCTGCTGCTTTTCCAGGTTCTCTATCTCTTGATCATACTGTCGCTTTTTACTCTGTAAAAAGAATTTGGCACTTTTTTTAGGAAGCTAAGTCCTGTTAATAGAAGTGCTGTAGCACAGCAGGGAATGGCCATGATGGACTGTTGTGGTAGGCAAGCTGCAGCACAAGCTGGGCACCCCACAATGGAAAATATTGCCTTTGATTTAAGAATGAAAGCTTAAGCCAGAGCCATAATGGCAGGAAACACCCGACTGCTGTTAGCACTGTTCTTCCTACTCCATCAAGATGTTATATTTTGAGAGCACCAAAATGCAGAAACTCACTGTCATTTCCTGTTCAAAACGTCTGTACATCTGCTCTCGCTGCTGCAAAAGCTTATTGCTGAGCTGCTGTTGGGCTCTCTGCTCCTCTTTCTGAAGAAGTCTCAGCTCTCTGAGCTCTTGACGTCTAATAAGGACAAAGAACACTTAATACTGATGGGAAAACAAAAAAGTGGAAAATGACCAAATACAAAAACAACCATTGACTTGGGCCCAGTTAAACTGATTTTGAACTGAGTGTCTTAATAAAAAACACTTTACGTTCACTTCTACTAAAAAAAAGTGAATTAATCCTCAAATATAATTGTAATAAGGTCATTAGCCCCCTTGTTTTATTCAAAGAAAAAAAAATCAGCTGCTAACCTCTTGAAAATTTTACTTTTAGAAACACTTACCGTAGAAATCGCATTTCTTCACTTTTTGAATCATTTTCAGTAACTATTTTTGATGTGGTTACACTCACTTCTACTCCATCAACGACAAACTTCCGAGTTTTCTTTAACGTTTTCTTCTGCCTTCTAGTTTCCTAAATTAAGGATTAGTAAGTTGTTATGTATTTATTAAATTATTATATTCTTCCCTCCCTTTTTCTTAATATTGAATTATATCAAATAGTTCTGGTAATGTCTTCTATAAAGTAATCTAGAGTCCTTCTCACCAGGTGCCTCAGTAATCAAGTGAGAATTTGAAAAATTCCAATAAACTGAAACTTTCTAGTAAGGAAAGGAAAACTGCAATTATTGATTATCCAAAGTACCAGAAGAAAAAAAAATACTACGCTAGATAAACTCTGAAGAGAAATTATGCAGTTTTATCTTCAAGAGCTGAAGACAGCTGCATTTACTGTTTGCTTTTGACCATGATTTCCCCAGTCACTAACAGGTATTTAATTCTGAAAAAGGATAACAGTTTACTCACCTACTTCCTTCTGCTTTGGACATAAAGTGAGTTTAATTTTTTTATTGATATATATTAGCCAAAAATCATATAATCATCTTGCTGACAACTGGAGAAGTCTCAGTTGTCAGAGCTGCTGTTTTTTCAATGCAAGAAGAGAGGGACGCCAGCTGAAACTGCACCATCTCCATTGTGTCAAGGCAACTGCAAATACCCTTGTGTTCAGTACAGCTATGCCAATCCCTGATTTTTTTGTTTGGTTGTCTTTCTAGGTTTGTTTTTCCTCCATTCAAGCCCACGTTACACAGTTACTATACTAACATGGCTATGTTCATATTAATACAAAGATTATTTATAAAGTTCATAGACTGGAATTTGCTTCCTCTGAGTTAGCTCATTCAGAGTAACATAAGTGCACGGACACAGTACAACCACAGGAGAACACTGATTGGAATAAACAAATCCAGCAGAATGTCTGCCTTGGGTCTCCCAAATCCAAACAGAGAGACAGAAGATGGAAGTGACAGGAATTCAGTATAAGATTAGATGTTCCAAGAGATTTTTCCCATTAAACAGGAACTCTGTGCATTTAGCTTAACTTCTGAGTATCAGCTCTGACCTACAACCGTCCACAAATCTTCATGTTTAATATTATTACACTTCCTTTTATGGGTTATGCTATTATGCAATACAGTAAGAAACTAATTAGCACAACTGCACAAAATCCAGACTTTGTTGTACTGTGGAATATTCTGGTTTCTGCAAAGCTTTGTGTATATATATGTGCCATACTGGTTTCTCCCTCAACATTTTTTTTTGTAGCATTTTTTTTGTAGCAAAGGTAACACTTGGAGATAATTTCAGTGTTACATTTTACATTAAAAAATAGATGCTTACACTTACCTGTAAAGATATTGATCCTGTCTCTTTGTTTTTACTAAGGAAACTAGAAATGGACAAGTTCAAATCAATGCTGCTGTTATCAGCTGTAGAACCAGTGCCTGAATCCGCATCATTTTCCTTCAAATTCTCCGACTCCAGTTGCTGTAGTGTCTCAGTATTGCCTTGATTATCTGTTTTGACCTTCTCATTTTCTTCAGTGCTAATACTAATACTGGGGACTGAAGTGACTTCAGAGTCATCAGCTTGTTCACTGACAGCATCTTGAAGTTTATTCTTCACGATTTCATCAGAGGTAACTGCCGGATGTTCTTTGTCTACCTGGATGTTGTTTTCCTGCAGATTCTCGAGTCCGCGCTCTCCTGAATTTTGGTCCATACCAGTCATTTTATCCACCAGTTCATCAGGAACATCCTCAGGTTTGTTCTGTAATGCCTTCTGGTCTACGATGTCTTTTCCAGTGTCTTTGATCTTTGCTTCCTCTGTGCTGTTTATATTACTGATACCCTCATTTTCACTTTCTGCCAGTTTCTTGTCTACTTCGATCACTTTATCTTGGCTTTCTGATAGAGTTTCTTCAGAACTGATTATCTCATAGACCTGCTTAGCCTGACTTTCCACTGGCTTATCCTCCAGCTCAGGTATTTTATCCCCATCACTGATGAGTGTTTCAGCAACAGCACCTATCTCCTTAACGTTGTCAATTCCATGCTTTATTAGCTCCTTTTCTTCATCAGATACTTGAACTGTAGCATTAGGCAGAGTTTCTGTAGTGGTATCTATTACTGCCTCTTTCTGAGCTTCACCTTTGTCTTCCTTTTGCTCTGTGTCTCTGTTTTCTGCAGGGACCTTTTCTTCCTCACCATCCAAGAGATCTGTTCTCTTCTCCTTCTCTTCTTCATCAGTTTCCTTAGAAATGCCTTCTTCAGTTTCTATCCTATTTTCAGTTACAGGTACTACTTTCAGTTTGGCATCTTCTATCTGTTCATCTGCCATGGCATTTTCTTTCTCTATTAAGTTAGGTTCATTCTTTATTTCCACATCAAGTTCTTTACCTCCTTTCTGGGGTTCTGTATCCTCATGCATTTTTTCCAGACTTTCTGTATTCTTTTCTGCTGGCACCATTTTGCCTTGCTCATCTTCACCAGTTGGCAAAGAACCATTCTGCACTTTAACATCGCTGATGGCAGTATCGTGTACATTATCAGCTGTTTTCCTAAATTTAATGTCCTCGGATTCATCTCCAGTTGTTTTGTCCTCAATGGCATTACTTTCTGTTTTCTCAGAAAGAGATTCCAGGACAGATGCATTCTGTGAAAGCTTATCCTCTTCAGAGCTGGCAATACTAAGGTCAGAGGATGCACGTTTCTCTGCAGGTAACTGCTAAAAAATTAAAGCAATAAAAATATTCAATCATTTTGTAACTTAATCAAAACATAGTTTTATGGAAGAATATGTGAATAGAGATCAATATTGTATTCACATGCAGTTATATGAATTTGGTAACTTCAGAATCCTTCCCTTGTACTATCACAGAACAAGTACATGAACTGCAAACGGGTTCTGAACAGAAAGTTTCACTTTCAAAGGAAAGGGATCATGGTCATCAGCTACTCTTCAAGGGTCTTTTTCTTTTCACATTCCTTTTTTTTTCATCAGTTCAGCTCCTCAGCAGTCTCAGCTACAGCTGGATTTGAAAGACTTAACTTTGTGCCAGCTGGGCAAGGAAGAAACTGTAGCTTTAGTTAGTGCAGCACTGATAAAATGCAATATTAAGACCTTCTTCTGCTTCACTTTCTAAAGCAGAAAAATGCCTGAAAATTTTTCTGAAAAATTTTTAAAAATTTTTGCTAAAAATGCCTGTAAACTTTTCACCTGGTATTAATCATGCTGAAACCCTGTTAAAATGGCAAAAACCTCCAGCAGATCTGATTAAGTGGCAGTACAGCACTGGAGCAGAAACAGTTACCTCACTGTAGAAACTGCTGCTGCCAGAATATGAATGAATGTTATCAGATTCCATAGAGACATCCAAAAGAATATAGTAATAAAGCATCATTTTAACCACAATTGCTCTTTCACTCTTCAAAGTGATTGTGATTCTGTCTGTCTGTATTTACTGCTAGAACCCTGTAATTTGCAGATCAGGCTTCTGATTGCCATAGGGAACATTCTAGGTTAGATGTTGCAGCAAGCACAGGTTTGATTGTGCATTTCCTACATTAAGGATTTCCCAAGCATACAGAAACCAATTCCTTTTAAGTCAAAATTGCATTTTAAATATTTATTCATGCAATTGTTTTAGAAGTTTAGTGTTGATCTCCCAGGAGTGTTTAAAACCACCCCAAGTAAATAATGTGACTACCTCACCCTTTCATACAGTGCTGCTTGTGAGAGACCTGAGTCCCAGGGTGGGCTCACTGCAGCCCTCCTGCATGGATGGATGGCTTAGCAGCTCGTCAGTGGAAGGAGGAGGTGGATGATCCACAGGAGGGGAGCTGCTGGGGATGCACGCTTGGAGCCTGTGGGGTGGGCTGGGGACGAGGTAAACAGGCCCAGGGACATGAGGAACGTGCTGATGGGTGAGGGGGGAATGGAGGCACCTGCTCAAGCACTTGGCTTCTCAGCAGTGCAGGAACAGCAGCTCTGGGAGGCACAGGGCACTCTGCAACCTGCACTCCATCCCTCGACATCACAGTTTTCCATCTGAGCAACCACATTCACACTCTGACATTCTTAAAACATATTTAGAACCACATTCATTATAAAATATGTGGGTTTTTTTCCTTTTTGATAGCCATACTGTAAAGTCACAAACTTAGTTTACAGCATAATAGTCAAATACCTTTCTTAAACACACATTTCCTCATTCACCCAGTAATTATGACTTAAAACCATTTACATAAAATAAGTATATAATTTTTAAAGTATCACATATACATGAAAAGATTTAAGATACTAGTATTTATTAGTTATTATTTATAAGTAGTTTTTAAGAAGTTCAAACGTGCTGATTTTGAAATTGCTAGCTACTTATTTTGTAAGAAGTTTAGAATATGTCTATGATGTTATTCCTAGAAGATTTGATGTCAGAGTTGGACTAATACAACTGAAACTGAATTCTCCATGGGAAATTGGCATCAGCATATTAAAAAAAGTAAAGTTTAAACTGACCAGAGAATTTTCTGTTTCTTCTTCCTCATCCTCATCTTTACCGTCTTCAACTTCTTCTGTAACTTCAGCCTTAGCTTCTGCAATCAATTCTCTTATTGGTTTATTTGAAGTAACAGTAACAAATGGATGCTTGCGGAAAAAAAAAAAAAAGCACAATATTAAGTGGTGGCTTCACAGTGGGAAAATCATACTTTGAAAGAAATACAACTCCAGAGAAGTGTTACTTTGGTTGCCTCACATTTGAGGATTCACAATTAACGTGACTATTATGATGTTCTGCTTTTTCTGCAGAAGTCACAACATCAAAACATCTGTATTCAAATATACTGTCTAAGTAGTCTAACAAACTTGCTAAAAATATAAATGATTCATTTATACTGACCTTTTTCACAATCCAAAGAATAGAGGTAGAAAGATTTTTAAAAAGGTTATTTTTCTTGGAATTATGTTTCATTTCAGTTCCAGTTAAATTATTTCTTGACAAGCTTTATCTAGAAAATACACTTTCTAGAAAAAAATGCACTTCGTCTTTGCAACAACTTTTCCTAACGTGAACTAGAATTCTACCCTTTTCTTTAAGAGTAAGCAGGTGCCTGTTCCTCTCCTACTGCCTGAATCTTCTTTCTCTGCTTGGCCCTTCTGCTTAAATCTATTCAGCATATGCCAGATGGATTGTGGATAAAGCAAATGGGTGCTGACGTTAAACACAATCAAATGTACCTGGTCACATCTATTCCTGTTCAGCTCTTCTGCAGTGACAGCATTACACAGGAGGGCTGAGCACTAAAGCTGTTAAAACACCTGTCAGCAACTGGCCACAGACCTAAACAACTCCTTCATGCATTGTAAGTATCAAAGTATAGTTACTTAATTACTAAGTCATTTAGTTATATTACAGCAAAATATGTTAAACTAATAACCCAATCTGTGCTTGGTATCATTTAATCAAATTTTACCAAATAAGGATCAATTTTAAAAACAGATTGTGGGCAAACACTTAATTTGAAAATATTTAAGTGGTTACTATAATACTGCTCTGCTTTTAAAAAACCACAAAATACGCTTGCCTTTAAACAACAGTTCAGAACAATGAACTCTTCCTACCTGTAGAAGTTGAGTTGCACTCCACCTTGCATCTACATTCTTTTCCAAACATTTCTTCAGAAAATCTTTAAAATCTGATGACCTATACAACAAGCAAACATGCAGTGGTTGTTCTTTTGTCTTAACATCAGACTAGCATATGAACTGAAATATTCTTTAGGTTCACATGAATCTACACTGCAACTCCAAGTCCTGCTACTGATTCAGGAAAACACAAAGGGAATACAGGAATGCCAAGACCAATACGGCACAAATACAGTCTTTAAAAGGTTTGTCCATTATCAGAAGAATTCACTTTTTGCTCTGGACTATTAATACAGCTCATCTGCTATATCACTAACTGAATCATGTGAAGATATTAAATCGACCAAATAGATATTGGCTTTTAAAAATATTTTGTTAGTATAAAAATGCTTTCGTTTCCTTTCACCCAATCTTTTTTAGATGGCCTTCAGATCTATTACTACATTTGTAAAAAAGCTATTTCACATATATTTTAAGGCAAAACCTGTAAAATACTTCTGTATAAAAGCTTCTGTACAGAACTATGACCCAAAAAAGTTCAAATTGTGTGAGAAGACATATATATATATACACACACGTACAAACATATATTGGGATTGTATGGACCTGCCTTAATGCATAAAGCTATATCACAAAGTTCAACAGGGCTGTGCTCATCAAATTTAGCAAACAAATGACTTGGAATGCCTTGCACTGGGGTGGGAAAGCTGTGAATGAAATACAAACCATTTTGAGGGCTGTGCCAATGTCGGCGGATCAGATTTTGCGATTTTCAGCAGCACTCGCATGGGATTGAGCTCATGGTGAGGTGGCTCTATCTGAGCCATTTCTATTAAAGTAATGCCAAGAGACCAGATATCAGCCTTGTAATCGTACGGTCTGTCTTTAGAGGTCTCACACATTACTACTTCTGGAGCCATCCTGCAAAGAGAGCAACCAAGTTCCAGATGAAAAAATGGTTTTTAATCAGTTCTGAAAACAGTTCTAAACACAGACATTCACTGAAGCACTGCTAGAAGCACATGCTACCATCACTGTATTTACACAGTATTTATCAAACTTGGAATAGCAAATTAAAAGTAACATTAAGATACTAGTTCATACTAAAAAGTTGGCAAAAGAGTGCACTTACCAATATGGTGTACCAATAAAAGAGTCTCTTCTTTGTATTGTTCTGGTGTTTTTAGCTGATACTCCAAAATCCGCTTAAAGCAAACCATAAAATACTATTAATGAAGTGGTGGAAAATATACTATTTTTTTTACTTTACAGTTGTCTTTTAAAATTGTATATGTGCCAGAGCAAACATTCTTCAGTATTAAAACTTCAAAGTGAGATAAAAATATTTGTGTTCTGATAGCCAAGTGCCAAGGTTTTATAGCATTTTTAATAAAATATCTTTAATAATACTTATTCTGCATCTCTAAAAAAAGACCCAAACCATAATGCTACTGTTGGGCTGTAAGGGACAAAAGCAAAATACGTATTTAGTGCAGGAAAAAGTGCATTGAATTATTTTAATCAGAAATTAATTTATTTAGCCTAAGAAATCTATATTCATTGAACACATCAACTATGCCATTAATTCAACAACTCATTCAATTTTTAATTTCACAACTCAAATTTTCATGAAGTTATATTTCCCCTTCATCTTACAGATTTCTTTCCACATGATTTTTCACTTCATAATAAATATCTGAAAGCTTTTATGTGTACTTTTCACGTAATATCTACCCAAAAAAACAACTTTACCTCTTTGCAATTAGTTGTCTATAAAGCACTACATCTCTCAAAAAAAAACCCCAACACTTAAATAAGTGTTATATGCTTATAACAGACGTAGTTTTGTTAATGAAGATCTAGAGATTAGAGAAAAGGAACAAAGTGCCATATGTTGCCATCTTTAATCTGTACAAAATTACTTGATGTGCTCAATACTTGAGAAGTCTAATTTTGCCCTGTGGAAAAAAAAAATCAGGACTAAAATCTATTGGTTCCAAGGCAAAAACTGAAATTTTGAGGGACTACAGGTATTGAAATAATTAAACTCATATCCATGTAAAAATAAAATACAGTTAAAGAAGTTTACTTGCCACTCACACATCTGTAAAATGAGGAATTTATTTATTTGTATAACAGAATCCAAATACAAGTAGTTTATAAGGAGTAAAATGCTCCTTTCAAAGGATGCTGTACATCTTTCATAAGTAAATCAAATCTTTTTTTAGTAATCTTAATTAGAAATCCTGAATGCATCATCAAATGCACGTGTGGAAGAAATCTCCCTGCGGCCTGAACTGTTAAGTAGTATCTTGACACCCTGCAAGGTGCTGTGTACCAGCTAAGCTTGACAAAATCTTAAAATAGTTCCAAGTCTGTATGAGGAGAAGCCAGGTCATGTGAGGAAATGAACTGAAACAAATGACTCTCTGACCATGAGACTCCTGCTATGATCTGTAGTTTCTTTTACAGCAGTGCCAAGAAACTAAGACAGTGGTTCTATTACATTTAAACATCAGGCCTATGACCCTGAGTGCATCACTAAATGTTCAGGCTTCAAAGAAAAGCTACACTAGTAAAGTTACATGTATTCTGCAGACTAAAAGAAAGCCAGATGCAAGGATTTCATGTACAAGCAATAACCTTGTACAAAAGGGATCCACGGAAAAGCACAATCACACTGAACTGATCAATTCAGCAAAGCAGCTTCTTAAATATTCTGTTTCCTAATAGAGAAGGTGCACAGTACCTTGTTGAGACTGACCAGAACAAGTTAGGCAGGAGATGTATTTCTGAATTACATTTAACAGGAAAGTCTGTATCAAGGCTGCAAATTTAGAAACCCAGTTCCCTGTGGCAATGTTCTGATTCTCCTTACCTCTCCCCTCTGTGCATCCAAAGAAACACAACTGATCACACACCATGCAGAGGGAAGGCTTTGAAACCTGAGCGTGGGCAGGGATGTCATGGAACTATGCCATGGGTAGAGCCCCTGTAAAGGCTAACAGCTTACACACATTATCCCCTGAAACAAAGTGGATCCAGATAATTCCTGCCCTTTCCTGGCTGAATGAAGGGATGCTATTCACCAGCAGCAGCCCTTTGTCAGTTCTGCATGGAGGAATCCTCGGCAGACTAGAAATGTGGATGACTACTTAAACTGAGATTTTAAAAAAACCCCAGAAATTAACAATAGTAAGATGTATTAATTTTGTTCCATACTATTCTGTCATAATTTCAGTGCAACAAGCAATTGAAAAAGGCATGGAAAAACTAAGCTGGGTAATTAAGATTACTACATCTCTCTCAAAGGAAGAGACAACAATACAAGGTACTGCTTTTTGGTGACTGTGAAGAATGTTCCCTTTCCAAATTAACAACTTCAAAGAGAAATTCTGACGTTATCACAGTAAAGGTAAGTATAATCAGGAACTTTGTACTAAAAACCAGTAATATCTATGACGACTTCTTGTGTTGATTTTGAAGTATGAAAGATGTGTATGTGACAAGTATGGTCACGATATTTGCTCAAGGTTTTTTGGTTTTTTCTTTGACAGTACCAAACCACTTGCTTCTGAACAACCTCTCACTGTTAGATTGGCATTTCAGTAGCTAAATATTGAACTCTAACTAACTACACTTTAAGGAAAATGCAATTAAAACACCATGCCAAGTTCCAGGAAAGAGTTTTATTTGCAACATGCTTACCCAGTTTAATGTCTCCATCTAATGTGAAAAGAATATTGCCAGCTTTTAGATCTCTGTGGATGATCTTATTCTCATGCAAGTAGTTCAGTGCTTCCAGTGTCTGCCTGCACACCACTTTGATCTGTGGCTCTGTTAACGGCCTTTCAAGCTCTGTGAGAGAGAAAATAATCACAACATTTTTGCATTTTATGTTACATGTTCATAGCAAACACTATAGTAATATATGGGAAAACTAATTAATCTGACTGATTCTAAGCATCACATGTCAGAAAAAAATTCCACCTTAGAATATTTGCTCCTTCCAGTAAGATTTTATTCCTTGAATCCAACCCCCTTCTCATTATGAATTATGTATACCTACCTATCTGAACCTACACAGTTTAGAGACTGGTTCTTTTGTGGAGTACATAGAGATGCTAAAGACCAGATCTTTTACTTACTGGTATTAGCATTCACTTAATTTGAGGAATAAGCACAGAAAACCCCCTAACTTTAATGTAGGTGCAATATAAAGAATTATCACAATGTAATTTGGAAGGTGGCAGTGGAAGGGGAAGAATGAGGTGCTGAAAAGGGCACATACAGATTATGTTATGAGAACAGAGAGCTCCATAAGCAGAGAACACTTGACTTTCACTTAAAGGATTGAGACAAAAATGTGCCTAGAAAAGTAAATAAACACTTTTAAAATGAAATATACAGGTGTAAATACTAATTTTTAAACCTCAACATATAGCACACCAATTACATAAAGATTTGCATATCAAAACAATACACATATGAAGTAAGTCTTAGATTATATATTATCATTTTAAGGTATTAGGATTGTTAGTTGAAACAACTTATTTACCCAACATTACTGCATCTACTGCTCCTCCTGCACAAAATTCAATCAGGATCTGTATATAAATAAATAAAAAATACAGAAATTAGAAATTAAATAGTTCCACTGAACTGAATCATTGATTAAGGGAGCATTATTGGGAGATCAGAATTTCAGACTATATGGCCTCAAAAATTATTTTACTACCCTGCAAAATACTAGTACTGTTACCCAGCTAAAGGTAGGGCTGTGCTGCTCAAGCAAATTATTTGAAAAATGCCTTGAGACCCTCAGACAAAAGTTTTAATCCAACTATAAAACAGCATAATAAAACTTATAAAACATAATGACACAGTCAGCTTAAACCTACTCCTTGTAATGTGATTTACATAATCCCTGAAAACTCATTTCTTGGTTATTAAGCTCTGCTTCTATACTGTAATCTCTCTGACGGAAAAGTCCAAGAGCTAAATGATTTTCCAGTATCTGATGCTATCTCCTATATTGTTTCAGATGAGATGAAAATACAGAAAAATACTCTTAAAAGCTACAGAAAATTACTAAATTCAGATGTTTACATTAATTTTCCTTCATTTTCATTCAGGCCTACAATACTTCAAGGTCTTTATCCCAGAATGTAATAATACCAGAACAAGTTCATGCCCAGTTCTGTGTTACCATTTGAAACAAAAATATACTGCAATTATTTTTGAGCACAAAATATGCTGCTATGAAGGACAAAGAATATATACAAAGGAGAAAGAGGGGAGACAAAGAGAATGAGGAGAGCAAAAAAGAGGCAATCTCATCCACGACTGATACCCCACTCTTACTTATATACTATTTTTCTTTAATTTGAACTTTAAATATTATAAATTATAATCTTCTGTCTAAGAGCAAAGAAGTATTTCTTGTCAGAATCTCAACGGTCAATATGCTTGGAAACAGTATATTTTTTTCTGTAATTTTTACATCAGTATATAATTGCCCATAAAAGAGGAAACCTCGAGGTATACCTTGTACCACAACACATATATACACCACTTATATCACATATACTTCAAATAATTATTGCAATTAACCCCCACAACAATGGTAACAACAAATATATTATATAATGCAATTCTTTGTAAATCCTGTAAACATTATTCCATTTACATGCTTCTGTGTGCCAAGTAGGTAAGTGTGGGAAATTGTACATAAAGAATTTATTTCTCTAAAATTCGTAGTTTGGTCTGACAGAGGTCTCTTTGTTCGAGAAATCACGTTTCTTATCTTGGAAAGCAAAAATTATTTATTCTCTGTCATTCTTCCCTTTTTTGCCCCCACTAAACTCTGTTTATTTACCACATCATTATCCTTGTGGCTTTCAAGTCCCTGCATTTCACTGTAACTATGTAGCTCCAATTTTATTTTCAAAGTGTTTACTTCTATCTTTATTCTGCCAGTGAAGCCTACCCACTCAGTTTCATATTGTGCCTCTATGCCTACTTGCTTTCATACTGACCTTTATGCATATAAATTTTTTCACTCTGCCACTGTTTTATATAATATTTTTCACTATGCCACTGTTTTATATAATATTTTACTCTGCACTGAGATCACCAAGTTTTGAGCTTAGCAAAACAAAAGTGCATCAGGAAACACAGTATTGCACTTCCACCATTTGCTCAAAGGATAAAGCTTATTTGTAAGACTCCAAATAAATCTTATTTTACTCATTTTAAGTATGTTTTTGAAGTATAAACTCTTAAAATCCCCAATTCATATATTCTTTGTATCATTCCAAAAGCACCTATAAATATTGCACTGGATGACCTAAAAGTACAAACTGTTTTGTCACAGCTAAAGCCATCCAAGCAAATATCCAGGATGTAGCACAGCAGGGACGTGCAGTCCCACGTACGCTCACCACACATCAGGGTACAAATACCCAGGGTTTAAGTAAATTAATTATGGGTCAGATCCTGGTAAACTGTCCTTCCTGGGAGTGCTCGCTGGCATCTAAAGTATGTACTTCATAGGCTGACCTTTCCAGCACATTATTTATTTTTCAGGTGTGGATTCTGAATCTCACTTTAAATCGTGCTAATGTAATTGAAATTTGAGTCCTCCTGTTACAAATAAGCATCAGCTGAGAACTCTCTCAATACTCAAAACGAACTGCTAATTTGCACATTTTAGATTCAAACCTCTGACCAAATGACTCAGGGGAGCACAATTTTACAATGACAATTTCCTAAATAATACTCACAATTTACAAATTAGTTTTGAAACTGAGTAGTTATGCCAACGGTGATAACCCAGATGAAATCTGACAAATTATATTTTGATAAAGAAAAAAAGTGTAATTTCATTAACCTTTTGATATAAGAAAAAAACATTTAGAAAAGGAAAAATACCTACCCAGAGATTGTTTTCATAGTAGAAAGCATCTAGGAGCTTGACAATATTAGGATGATCACAGGATGCTAAAATATCAATCTCCACCATGTAATCTTCAAGTTCTTCTTCTGATTTAGTATCTATCACCTTTGCAGCAGCCAGAACTTTTGTCTCTTTGTTCTGAGCCTGTAAAAGAAAAGGCACAGCATACATATACATGAATTTCACTAGAAAACTGGCACCAGCAAAAATACCCCATAAATAAAGCAACTCTCGACACTTCTGTACAACTTCCTGCTTCTAGTTTCCTCTTCTACAAAAAGAGAACCCCTGCATATTAAAGAGGAGATAAAATCTAGTAGAAAAAGGGCTTAATAACTTTTCTCAAGGCCAAGAAACAATGAAGGACAAGAACGTAAAAATACTTAATTCTTCAAACAATCATTAATAGTTCAGGATAATTGCTGCCTACTAAGATGAAGTTTTATGCTGCTCCTCAAACACAATTTATTTACACGTGGCAAGGATAGGAAGGAGCCTCTGCCCTCTGTTTCTGCCCTTCTGACTCTCCCCACGCTGTGGCAGCACCGCTGCTCCCAAAGGCGCGCACAGAACCAGCTCCTCCCGCAGGAAGCAGGCTGCTCCTCTCCAGCCAGGGGCTGTGTGCAAGCTCCCAGCTCCAGGAGCTGCCGAGCCATCATTGCTCTGCCTGGACATTTTGCTCCCTTTGCTCCAGCAGCCCGGGAGGACTCATGGAAGGTGGGGCACTGCAAATACTGCCAGCCTGCACTTCATCACTTCTCACCCACACACCACGGGCTGCTGCACTGATATGGACAACTACAGAACAAGTACAACAGGCAAAGGGAAAACAAGACTTTGGGTACCCAAGGAAAAGAATAGGCATTTTTGCTGTGCATTTAAATATTCTCTGGCTTTTTTCAAACTTAAGAAATTACAGACAAGTCAGGTGACTAACTTAAATAGCAGAACATTTCAGAATTCAGGAAATACTACTTTACATTGCTGAAACTTAATAACAAAAAAAATATATACACTCTCTAATAACTATCTTGGAAATGAAGCTTGAAGGAAGGCCCAATTCCAAGCTTTAAACAAGTAAGTGTATTTTTCTCAAGCCACCATAAAACCACTATTTTGTCAAGTAGTGACATTTCCAGTAGTTATCTCTATAAAGTGCAGGACCAAAGTCTACGTCACTCACTGTATGAGAAGACCACAGAGCAAAGCCCTACGTTTACTCCACTGAGTTTTTGACATTCAAATTAAATTAAATGGAAAGGAGGGACACAGGCTCTCTCCAAAGCAGCATCAAAGGACCAGCAAGGGGCTTTCCAACTTCTGATGTGAAGCATCACAAGGTGGTTCATCCTCTCTGCTGGTGTGGATTGTACATGGCCCCAAACTTATTTGGGATGATCCCAGGACAGGACACAGCAAAAATCCTAAAACCTGAACTTAGTCACCTAATGACTTTAATCAGACAAAAGCTGGAATCAGACAGTAAGTAAGAATTCTTAAGAATAATTTTGAAGGCCTAAATATTATTACTTGCACAGCTATAAATAATTCTCTCAATGTGGCAAAAGATAATAAAATATTTAAAGATAAACATTTGTACTAACATTCAGTAAAACAGCAGTAACGGCAAAACACTTATAAAGCAGTCCCAGCTGATTTATCTCATGTTGAGGGTAAAGGTTTTCCATTACATTTCTTTTTATCTCAATATTCTTTCCAAAACAAAACCCAACCAAATCTTCCCAACCTCAATATTTGCCCTCCCATGTTTAACAACAAAGATAAGGAATCTGTATAACATCATTTGAAAACCAACTACTGAGAAGTTTTCCAACACACATTCTAATAATAAAAAGGAAAAGGTCTGCTTAGTAACGCAAACAACATTTGTTTTGGTTTCAAGTTTTGTAGCAAGAATGAAAGACCAACCTTCCTACTCTACAGCTGCAGTGTAAATTAAACACAAAAAGTGAAACAGATGTCTGACCACAACAGATTTAGACTTGATAGCTAAAAAAATAAAGCTGAAATTAAGTTTTACACGAATTTGCTTACAAACTATATCATGGCAATAATATTTTGTTTAAATAAAACTATCTACATTAGATGTTACTGCTTCCACATTCAGTTTCACCTTTGAGCAAGAAAGGCCTTGCTAAGTTAGTGTGAATGATTACATGCTCAGGAGTTTGCTGCATTTACAGCATATATTGTTTTTTTTCTGCTGACAGAACACTTTGTATTTTGATTTTTCCCAGACCCTTTTGCTTAAAGTAACTAGAAATCTGCTTTGAGTAAGCTTCTATGATTTCCTCCTTGTGGCAGCTCTATTAAAACACCTCATTAAAAACTATGAATTATTATAAAGACAGTGTGATTATCCTTATGAGCATCGTAACAATTATAAACAAAACAAATGTTTGCCTTTGTTCTGACTTAAAATAGTAAAATTTCATAGGTCTAGATCCAGACTCTTTTTCAACTCTTAAAAGAAAAAAGCTTTAGAATTAACATATTTCCACTGGGTATTTCTGAGGACTGATGAAACATATTAAGTTACTTTTTTTTTTTCCCAGGTATAACTTGATGTATTTGTATCTCTTAAAGTTCTTTTTTAATAAGGCATTAGTCATCTCTACCCCACAATGCACTCTATACAAAAATACCCATCTATTTGATTTACTGTAAGTAACATGCTCTTTTGAACTGTGTAGGGAAGGATTTTACTGTTCATGCACAGGATTTATGAATCACTGTACTGTACAGTGGAAAAAAAAGCTCTTTGGATTAGGAGGAACAAAAAGCACTTGCAACTTGGTGTGGGCATGTTTGTTTTCTCTAAACTTTGGCTGAAGTCTTTCTTCTTCCACAAAATGTTCTAAAAGGTCAGAGCCAGAGCAAAAATGATTGTATAGACGCGGTCTTGATTTGCACATGGAAATTCTGCATTTGGGTAAACCAACACTTAAAGTCAACCTGCCACTTATGTTACAGGACATATTTGAAAGGGCAGAACTTCTGAGTAGCTGTAGCCCAGCAGTTTCTTCCTGTATTTTATCTCTCAACTACTAATTCCATTTATTCCAAATGCTCTGCTTAAATCATTCGATTCTGCATCTATGATTAAGTGACTTAAGCCTCAGTCTTATGCTAAGAAATACAAACTGGCATTGTCAAGGGTTATGTGCAGACAAGGAAGAAAGGGGTAGAAGGATTCATTAACAAAATTTGATCTTTTCAAAAGATACATACATAATGGATGAAAACCACATTGGAATAACTAATTCCCTCAAGACCTGACTAATGCAAGATTACATGGATATTATTAACTGTTACATACAACAACACACAATCCTTTCAGTAAAACTTCTACTTGAATTATGTATTGAATGTTAGTACAGCAAACATTTTAACTTAAGGAGAGAGAATGCACAAGGAAATAACCAGCTGTACGTTATAGCATGTTTTTCTTGCAAGGGATGGAACAGTCTCATCAGCTGTCAATGCACAGGAAAACACGCTTAATTCTAAGTTAAATACTTGGATAAAGATGGATTGCATGCTTGCATAGAATAAATCATCTTAAAAACTACAACTTGCAAATGAATTTGTCTGAACCTACATCCCTTACACTGGAATGGCAATGTATATCGAATGTACAAAAACATTGGAGATATCTGAAAATGTCTGAAGAAAGAATAACCATTCCACACAAAACCAGGGCCTACACGTATGTGAAATTAGTGACTCCTTCCTAACAATGCTGGAGTTTTGCATGGTGTCACATAACTCAATGTAAGTTCTAGAGGCAGAAGCTTTGTGAAGAGACTGCCGGCAGAATATTAAAAGGTGGTTTACTATCTGGGCACTAGGCCAAGAAGTTGCATATTCCCAGCGCTGGACAGCAGGGAGAGCAGAGCTGCAGCTCCAGAGTAATAGGATTACAGCCCAGAGATAACACATAGCCTTTCATCTTCTGATGACCAATATGAAGTTTCAGCCTTGCTTGTGAGGAGCTGTTTCAGTTTCCTATTGCCAGCAAACACTTCCTTCCCAACTGTGCATCTCCTCTGTAATGTAGCTTTAAAAATGAAACAGTATTTATAGCTGGAAAAAGTTAAGTACATCTTTCACCTCTTGTTCAGCCAGCCAGGAACAAAGTTGAGATACAAGACAGAAAATTGTTCATCACCATTCCTCCTGATGCCTGATCTCTTGTGAGATGTTACATAACCCCACTGCATGTTTTGCAGGCAGCAAAACAAATCAATTAAGAAGTTTTTCTTTTCTGACTCATTCTTCTCAACAAAACTGTATAGTCATAATTATGGCTCATCAAAGTTGTCAAAAGGGGAAAAATACACACATCCCTTTTCAGCAAAAGATGCTTTTCCCACATAATAAAAAGCTCCACTTTTGTGTACAATTGGGATTGTCAGATCTAGCTCCACATAAATTTTCTGACAATGCCTGGGTAATCAGTACTGAAGAGCTGGCCTTGTACAACACAAAGGCAGGAGCTGTTTCTCTGAGCTACCAAAAAGCCGAGATTTCAATCTTTCTTAGAACATATGAATTAAGGAAAAAATATTGCTCTCATTTTAAATTTTAGCAGCTCTACCAAATAAAAGTTTAAGAAGTAGTGTGGCCTACTGAAACAACTTCAGTAGACTTTTGTCTAAGTTTCCTATACCATATTTAACATTCTCCTGTACATTTTGAAACTAAAAAAATCCTGCATGATTGACCAGTATCAAGTGTTCAAACTTCTTTTTAAAAACATGGAAAGGCATTCACTATCAGTGAACTTTAGAAAAGAAATCTACCGTAGTCAGATAAAAGGAAGCATTAATTCTAATACCAAATGTTAAAAAATATAATTATAAGTATCAGTTTGAAATCAAGAGCAAATAGCTACTCTTGCAATATTAAACCACAATTTTAACAATAAATCACAAGTTTGGCCAATGAAGAAGACAGTAACCACCACAGATTTCTGGAAATTGGTATGAGTCAGTAATTTCAATTAAGTTGTTTTTTGCAAGAATCTTCACTGCATGATGTTTGAAAATGCAGTAATATTAAATTTTTTAAAAGGAGATAATTTCAATTTTTTGTTTAATTATAGATATAGTTGGCCCAAG